TTATATAAGAAATTATTCATGTCCATCTGTCGTCTATTTATAATACATTATAAAAACATGTGCATGCTTCACAACGGTGCTTCCTACGGTATCATCCCCCATTGCTTGTTTGCTTGCTTGTTGTCGATTATGTTTCTTCCATGCTCATTGTTTGTGTCATTGAGACGGATTCCTCCTCGTTATTAGTATTAGTACTCGTACTTCCTCCCATGGCTTCCAATCGTTCCTGGAGTCTCCGAAACTGAAAGATCCCCTTGTTGCGTTTGTAGGGATCCTGAAAGGGCAGACCATCGAGTCCCTTGTACTCTTCACAGAGAAAGCCGCAGCACTCTTTGGTGGCTTGCGCGGTTTCTATAATGAGTTCTCCCAGTTTCTGTGGTAATTTTTGTGCCAGTGCCAATTCGACCATCCCCAATACAGCCACTCGAATGGTTTCGTGGCGAATGATATTGTTGTAATTTCTTGGTTGTCGTCCTCCCACATGGATCGATTCAAATCCCGGTTCGTTGTGATAGGGTGTGGCATTCATCAGAGACTGAATACTCAACAAGACACTGCCAATGGTCAATGCTGGCGTCCAACTGGGGCCACTCCATGTTCCGAGAATGGAGAGACAAACTTTGCCGCACGCGTAAATGTTGGGATTGAAGCGGACGGTGCCCAGATCGGTGGTTTGTATCGTCACTTTGGGGGGTTCGTGCGGATACGAATTGGGGAAATCCATAATGAAATAGAAGGATCCAAATTCGTAGGGAGTTCCAGTGGGTCCCAGTAACAGTGCATGACACCGATTGGCGAGATTGTCGTCCGGAACAACAAAGATTCCCTCAATGGGATCATTATAGAGTTTGGTCAGATCATTGTGGATGCGATGCAAGCACTGTTTGGTCGGGTTTTGAAAGGCAAACGAAGAATCATCGTCATCTTCTAGTTTCAGTTTCTTGAGTTTCGGAAGAGGCGCTTCTTCGTCATTGTCGTACGACGAAATCTCGTGGTGCATCGCTGCGCTGCTGGCTACTACCTTGAGTTCTTCGTGATGATGATGATGATGATGGCCACTTCCCGAAGGAACTTCCATGCTGTCGGATGATACATGTAATGTAGCACCCGTGGCTACTGTTTGGAGCTCCATGGTTGGTATTAATGCAGTTATTAGTTCTTATCGCAGTAGTGTAGTGGAAGGAACAAGGATGTCAACAGCTTCCGTAAAACGTCAACAACAACAAGGTTGATGCTGGTAGTCTAATTTTATTTTGTAAGTTTCGCTTCCTTTTAAAATTTGAACTACTGTACTAGTAGTCTACGGATGTGAAGCTAGCTAGTAGCAGGAAATAAGGCATCAGCCCCCATTAGACCCCCACACTCTGACCCCCCTATGGCACCAACTTTTATCCTACTGTATGTACACCAGAACAATCACCAATCCCCACAGCCGCCCAAATACAGGACCACCACAAAGCCCTGAACGTTGCCCAAATCATGATCCTACCGGTACACCAGGCCTCACAATCCAGAACCCACCCCGTGATCAAGCAATGCACCTCTTCCTTTCTATGCCCTCTCTGATAATACCGGTACCGGTACATGTAGATAGAGGTGCAGAATTTCTGCCACCGAGGTGCCCAACCTAGATGTGCAGAATTTTGCCCCCGAGGTGCGACCGTAGCTAGTAGAGGTGCAGAATATTTGCCACCAAGGTGGGCACCCTAACGGTACCGGTAGAGGTGCAGACTTTTTGCCGCCTAGCTAGATGCCTACCGGTAGTACGGTACACATGCCTCTTTGTTGGATGAGTTCAAGGAGCATTGAGTGTTGATGAAGCTACTGTACGGAAATTGCACTCCTCTTGGCTAGCCACATTATGAGCAAAGTGATACGATACATGTACAACTTTCAAGGCGATTCGATTCGTTACAAGACCAGAACCAAAGGTGGACATGAAACAAAAGCAACTGGCGTCCTCACTAAATACGGAAACACCCGAAGTTGCCCCGACCTTCTTCACTTGTTGTAGACCATGGCAACAGATCCTCGTCCCTCGTATTCTCAGGCACCAGGGGACTCTACCTCAAACTTGACCCGAATATGGGTTGCCGGGGATCCAGTCGAGTGAAGGTATGGGCCTCCATCCTTATGACGGAGCAAAATGGAAACACTCATGGTGTCGAATCGAATTTCCCAACCGTACTGAAAATTGCCAGAGCTGCTCACGCCGTCGATGGAGTAAACTGTATCTCCACCATCCGGCGACACAAGAACGAGGACGTTCTTCACGTCATTGTTGTTCAAGTTGTGCTGCATATCCACGCGGCTCCCGACGGTTGTGGGTCCCTCAATCCAGCCACTATCAAACTTGCGTGCCGCCGCTGGGCTCTCTTCGACAAGATGCCATCCAGTAACGTACAATCTCATGCCATGACAGTTGTCGAGTTGGGTGCTCTGTTCATCCCCGCACTTGACGAAAACCCCTTGACACTGACTACTGACCGGGAAATGAAAGATATTGTTGTCCGTGTTAATGGCATTTTGCGGGTATCGGTGAGCATAATGATGCAAATAGTAAGGTTGACCTGCGAGATGGTTGACGTAGAGGATGGTATGGACATCTCTGCTGTTTCCTTCATTGCCAGAACAGAAAACAGCATTAATGCGAATGGCATCTGTGTTGCGAGGAATGCTCCATGGGAATTCAAAAAACTTGGGCTCTGCGTCTTTGTACTCAAATAAGCCCAACTCGATGGGATTCTCAAGGGTATGAAAGTCAAGCTCAGTAGTGCTCATTTTCCCTTCTCGCTTTCGGCGTGGCTGTAAAGTGAAATGCAAACCAACAATTTGTGTGCATTCGGAGCACTAGCTAGGCAGGCCTCGGCAGGGAAATCCGGGGTTTTAGCCGGATGCCAGATAAGGTCTCAACGGGCTGTCTTGTGGTACGGTATATCATATATGTCAAATTGGAACCTTTTTCCCGCAAGAAAATTGTACATTGACAGTCATTGACACATACACGTGTACATACAAGCAAGCGTTGCGCACGTCAAGTCGTTCTAATGGGCCGCCCATGAGTCTTTACTAACAGGAAAGGCATGCAAAGCTTCAGCAATGTTGGCTTGTCCAACGGTTGGCAAACGCTTGTTTCCCGTTTTCTGTGAAACGATGACGGAGCCAGAATTGCGTGTGTTGTTGTTTTTGTAGTTGTTGTTTTGTGGTCGTCCCAAGAAAGGATGTGTTTCCAAATATTCCCATAGCCAAGATTCAATGTCAAGGCCAAGTGACCTCCCCCCGTCATAGCACTATCCTAATCCTGAGCCAGAATCATTGTCATGAGCTGTTTACCGAGAATCTTCGGTTCTTCTCCTGTCGCGCCCAGTTCCGTAGCAGTTGAACATCGCTTTCGAATTGCTTTTCTTCATCCTCTGCCACATTAATTTTAAAATGATCCTGGGGTGCAAAAGCTCGGTGGTAAAGGGTGGTTCCAACGTTCTGGACCTATTTCTTCGTTGGTCGTTGTTTTGGGCTTCTTCCGAGACCATGGTTTAAAATCATGTATCCCCATGCTTTTGTGCTACTACTGCGGATTGCCCAATGATTGGTGCGTCTTCTCGATTGTCTCTCTTGCAGCCGCGCGGCGGTAGCCATCGGTTCCTGTTCCTATTGTGGTCTTGCCAAGTGTTGTTGCCGACATTCTTGTGATTTCCCTCTCGTGTTTTTGCTATTGACACGGTGCCGGAATTCCTGTGATTTCCCTCTCTTTGTTCGAAACCGCACTCCACCAGGAGCACTCAACGCAGATCGAGTATTCTGGATGTGTAGCCTCAACCCAAGCAATTTTAAAAGCAACGGCAACTAGCGATACTGGGAGCAATACCTTGAGTACGGGTATTCATCCTCATCTCATCTCTCCGTACCTGGTACCGGTACCACCTGCAATAGTTGATGATATCGTTCGCTGTTCCACTCAACCCATCGCTGTTGCGACCTCTGGTGGAAAGTCGGGTTTACGATGGATTAGAGCGAGCTAAGATGAGGATGGAGATGTGAAGGCTGTTAAGGGGGGCAGCGCTGCCCCAGCTTTGTTCCGTTTTGGACTTGCTTTTTGGCTATTTACCTTCTTTTGCAAACGGAAAACGACAAAATGTAACACGAAAAAGAGAATTGCTCGATTTTCACAAAAGATCCTCGGCTTGACGAGCTCTTGCATGCTCTCACGACAACCAGTATAATTTTTATAAAATTTGAAAGCAGCAGAGTTGCCACCATAAACACAGGCTTTTCCTGCTTCACATGGTCAGATCATCTCTTGTTTTGATGTTGAAAGGGCTACTGGAGGAATGCAGGAGGAACTCAACCAATATAGCACCTACACAACCAAGCTGAATATATAGAGTTATCTACATTCTTTGCTTGTCGCAGCCATGTGCTGGTTGTAGTGCTGACAGCCACGTAGAAGGCATTATCTTATGTCAAACTAGTGTAAAATGGTCAGAAATGGAAGCCCTACTTTGCCAGCCATTCGTTCCTCCCATGGCCACCAAATGGACAAGTGGCTATCACCACTGCGACGGGCACGTCCAAATTATGTATTCCCTATCTCAAAGTATTGTCAGGTTGACCCTATTGGTCAAACTGCTGGGGGTATCTCTGTCAGCATGAACTGATGTCAAAAGTGAGTTTCTTCAAAAAATGGGTGATGCGGAGAGGCTTCCACCACTTATCTTTAGTGAATTACCCCATCCTCCAGTTATTTATACTGGTTGTCAAAAATTATACTGGTTGTCGCAAGAGTAGCATGGGGTGTCGGCGTCATTGGCAGGATAGATGCTTAACGTGTTGTGGTTATTGTCAGCAACCACAGCGGCCAGCATCGACCACAAACCCTCTCTTCTCGCCCATATTTCAAGAAATCCAACTAACCAAGATGTCAACAAGAGCAGTCTCTGTTGCAGAAAATGCCGCATTCCGAAAGCTATGTGAACGGATTCAGCGCAATGACGAGGCGTTGAAATTGATCATTCTAATTTTCGATCCAGACATTTATGGCGAGGAGGAATTTGCGGCTTTGATCGCAGCACTGGAAAACAACAAGACTATCGAAGTAGCTCGGTTTTCGTTTCGGGGGCTACTTCCTCCAACTCAGGTTCAGAAATTGGGCAGCTTCTTTTGCCATAACACCACCATTGAGGAACTCTCTGTTCACGCAGTGGCCAACTCAAAACATTGTGGCGAGGTATTCGTTCAAGTCAATCAATCAAGGAGCTATCCTTGATCAAGTTGTCAGCAGCTTGTGTGAACAGTTTCCTGGAGGTATGGACAGACTCACCAATCAACTATCTTTGGTTTGCCGAGTGTGACTTTTCCAAGGAAGGGGTCTCGGCTCTTGTCACTCAACTGAGTCACAACAAGAAGGCATTGTGTGCCAATTTGAAGTTTACAAAGTGTGCATTTGAAACTGTGGAGGACAAACGCCTCGTCGCATGGGCTCTGGGAGAGAGCGCATCACTCGAGGGATTTGTGCTTCTAGACAAAGATGGGTTGGACAAAGAAACTGCTACCATGTATGGGCATGCCATTGCCGCAAACAATGATATTGTGAGAGTGGCATTCTACGGTTTGCATGAAGATGCATTGCCCGTCATCACACGGGCAATGGACCAGAATCATTACTTGACCGCTGCAGTGGTCTCCGGGGAGAAGATGGAAGGAGACATGGCGCAGAAGTGTGAGAAAGAGGTTGCTCACTCCATTGCAATGAACAAGGCAGGCCGGTGCTTTCTTGAGGATTCCATTGATCGTCCTCATGACTCAAGCATTGAAGAATTCTGGTTGGCCGCATTGGCCAAGCATATCAATGATCACCCTGTCGTGTATTCTTGGATTCTTGACTATCCTGACATTTTCCTTCGTGTAGTTGGCACTGGTGTACAGCAGGAGTCCAAGTGGAAGAGAAAGGCTGGCCTTGATCACAAGCCTCCCACTAGCAAGAAGCCCAAGACCATGGCGTGAAGAAAGTGTTACTGGGGACACGCTGTGCAGCATAAGGGAAGCTAGGACGTGAACGAAACGATTGAGCCCACTTTTGTGGCTGACAGTCTCATAGAGAAGGCAGGGTACAACCAAAAACAAGGGACTGCAATGGATTTTCATCTTCAGACAGCCAAAGTATTGGGTCCTCTTTGTCGACATAGGGTTCTTTCTCTGGATTGTCGTCCTATCCGTGATGCTAAATCGAATGGTATGGAAGCTACAGATAGATACCATGACTCTCTTGCAGAAGAGCTTGGTCCCATTACATATTATTGTTCTGTTCATTAGCATGCGCATTCAATCATTTTGAGTACAGCGTAGTCTTCAAGCCGTAAACTAAGCCGACACCACCACGACCATATGTCTGCTTCCTCCATCGTCAAGCCAAGCGAACTCTACGTCCATTGCTTGGGGTTGACTTCAGCGGTTGCTTCTAAGGGCTCGCGACCATTCGGGGAGGTAGTCGGGGTCTAGGAGGGCTTTCAGATTCTCTCGTTTTTCCTTCTGTTCTTGCCGTTCTTCTTCAGAAATCGGGCCATCCTGGCAACGAGGAAAGTCACTCTTCTTGAGTTTTAGCCCTCCAGCAGTGACGATGTCTTCTGGACTTAGATCAAAGACAGAGTCTTTGGGCATCTCGATCCCTGCGTTGTTGGGTATGAATTCTAGTATTGTTCGTGTTGGTCGCATCGCTCTCAGCAATTCGAGACTGATAGTCTTGAATGGTCGGCCAAGTGAATCTTGCGCAAGGAACAAAACGCCACCATGCAGGTTGTCTCCAGTTTGGCGAACTCCAATTATGGCGACAAAGTGATAATCGTCGGTGAAATTCATCCGAGGTCGATCCTTGACACACATAGTACTTTGTTCATAACCCTCATAAAGACGGACATGAGCGCATAGGGCACCATGCTGGAGATGTTTCTTCACCTCTTTATAGAAGTATTCGGGAGTTTCATCTTGGGCGATGTCGATCCAGCCTTGGCGGGGGGCACTGGTGTTGCTCAAGCTCAAGAGACCATTCAGAACGTCCTCGAAGACAAATCCCTTGCCCTCGAATATAGTTTCGTACTTTTCCTTGGCGGTTAGACTATGTCGCATGTAGCGTCCGATGTTGAGCGTGAAGTTTCCAGCCTTCGTTTCTATCATAGTGTCATTGGCCAAAACGGCGACGGGTGCACGGGCGGGTGACCTCCCGGGTGAACTGCCTGGACTAGTTGTCAGAGCGCTGTTATCACGCGCCTTTCGACGCATGCCAACCTTGGTCAATGCACTCTTCATAGCTTTCTGCCATCGAGCTGGTTTGCTTCCTTGGTTGCCAGACGTCTTATTCGCAATGTTGGACCACGACAATGGGCTTGTACGTGTACCTGTGGTAGTCGGACTCGAAACGGGGGTTTCTCCTTGGGGGTGGATGACTTGACGGTAGTGAATCATTAAAGAGCTCACAACAAAAGCACACACCATAGAAAATTCCGCTTGGGGTCGCAGAATTGGTTCGATATGGTGATTGAGCGTAAACAATGTGCATGACTTTCCTTTCCGTTCTCGCCCATCCCCCCACAGCTCTTTGTTGTCGGATCGAAACTGTTGATATGACTCACCGTCAAAGTTCGTGCTCCAATTTCCCGTCGATTTAATAGCATCGCCATTTTTTCGAACAAACTGGTGCAAATCCCGGCAAATGGCTTGGCCCGGGATGGTACAAGTCATCTTGCCGTCCTTTGCGTCAACCTTGTCTATTCCTAGCACACCATGGGCGATCCGTTTGTTCCTGTCTTGTCCCCGAGAGAAGCAATCCACAATGCCCTCGTTGATAATAAACGCCATACTGGCCTGTTGAAGATCGTTGAGAGACTCCCACGTGTACGGGGAACCGCTGCCTTGTAGTAGCAGTGACTTTTGAAGAATCAAATTCGCTTCTGTTTTGACTTGACCCAAAGCTTTGTTGTCTCTGCCGGTGGGGGCGAAGGACGCCGTCGCGCCAGAACCTGGCGTCGAAAACAAGTTTGCCGTTGGTGCAGTCGATGGCGTCGCCGCCGTTGGGTTCGACACAGATGATGCCAGGTCTAGTGATGGCGATGATACCGGTACTGCTATTAGCAGTGGCAGGTCATGATTACTGCTCATCGTCTGAAGGTTCGTACAGCGTACAAGTATAATAAGAGAATCGAATCTGCAGACTTGGAGCGTGTTTGATTGTTGTTTGATGGAAAAGGCTCGTCTTTTTGTGGCCGGAACCCGAAATAATTACTGCCAGCGTGGACCTCACAGCGTGGAAGTCAGAGGGGGAAAGGTCGGCTGGGAGCACAACTTGGAGAAACGATGACTTTGGGCGGACCATCAAGATCCATCTACACTAGCTAGCAACTTAGCGTCTCAGTACCATGCAGTCTCAGACACTCACTGTAGCACAATCCAAACAGAGGCGGCGGAGGTGACGCTCATGACAGTATAAGCACACAAGCCAGTCTCGGCAGAAGCAGCTACTATGCAGCCAAAGCACGGAAAGAGTTGCTTGCACGTTGTGTGGATACATTCAATCCAAATTCTCGGGGCGGTGAATCCATCTTCAAGAGGCATGTTTGGAGCTGGGTACCATTGGTGATGGTTTGTACCATAGAGAAAGGAGTGCAATGGAGCTCAAGCCAAGCAAGGCATCATGAGCGCCTCAAGTTGCCTGGCGGCTTTGCTGGGTGTATCCGCACTCAAGGAGTTGGCCGTTGCATACCGTAGTCAAAACGATAGTAGTCGAGACTCGTCCCGCCAGCTAATAACATTCGCTATTTTGAGATTGCTGGGTAGCGGTAGATGGACGAACCACACACTAACTGTCCAAATGAGGCTGTTCATCTCTTGTTACACGCTGTTGAAAGGATGATCTACTAACTCTAGTTCCCAGTCTTCGCATCCCGGCACCAGTTTCTTGCAACCATGAAACATCTTTTCGAGTTCACCGCAATACTCCTTGTGCTTGGCGTCGATTTCTTCTTGGCTTGGATGTTCGATCCGAGGACACGCAATGGGTGCTCCTACAAAAACATTCAAGGTTTGTCGTTTGGGCATGAGTGGAGCCATGTTACCCCAAACTAGAAGAGGAGCAAATCCCAAAATTTGCTTTTGCAAATACACTTGGAGTTTGTACAGCAAAGTCCCACCTGAAGTGGGAAATCGTATCAGATCAAAGAGCAAGTGTTCTTCAAACGTGATCACGGGGACCAAGCTAACGCCGTGTTGTAGAGCCAATTTGCAAAATCCCTTGCGATCTTTTAGGAGCAACTTCATGACGGTGTTACCAGTGGTTGGATTGGGTTCCAGACCGATCAATGCCTCGGCAGCACCTCCCAAATTGACGGCCACCGAACCTTGAATGGTTTCAAATACATGTCGAAAGGATTTCTTGTCCGCAGAAAAGCAGCCTCCAAATAAACACCAATCTCGAAAGAATGGAGTGAGAAATATTTGTCGCAATCCCGTCATGTAGGTATCAATGCCCGGATAGAGTTGGTTAAAGCCCGATTCCTCCGTGCCAAACACACTGAGGCTACCCACTCCAATCACACCGTGCGGATGACACGCGAACAAATACTTGGCCTTTTTATTGTCGGCCGTAGTAGTTGGTAGTTCCGCCAGTTTGTGGATTCGCAGGGGATAATAGGCGCATTGGATTGCGTAAAGCCAATTGTTGCGTAGCCACTTGCGCAAATAGCGGAATGGCGCTCGATGATGGGGGTATCCAATGCCATTGCATCGGTTTCGATCCAGACCAATCCAAGCCAGGTAGGAGACACACAAGGATCGTACGTAGACATTCTTGGACATGAAGAGTCCATAGCCAAAAATAGACCAGGACATGCCCATCATGTTGAGAGGAAAGGAAAAGAAGGTAACCCAATAGGTAATCCATGATGGGATGCCACTGCGAGCGAACCTCGGTTCTGCAGTCGCCAGAACTATGGATGATTTGTCCTTGGCATCTGGTTCTCTTTGCGTCTCTACCGGTGCCATTGTCGTATCTCCGATTTGGATACTCTGCTTCTTGATGTGATGGATATCTCTCTATCTGTCGATCTATTGATTGCTCTTTAGTAAAGATTCGTTCTTGTGCCGAGCAAGGTGTCGATGATCTTTGGTTGGTGGCAGGTTGGCATCATCATGCAGAACATTGACAAGAGCGTGGGAAGCGAAGAAGCGAAGCGAACAATTTCTAAACCCGAACCATTGATTTGATGACGTGTCAAATATCCGGGTGCTTTGGGTCTTGTTAGTTTGGATGACTCGTGATTGATTGACCGGATTGTTGAAGTTCAAAGTGCCGATCAAACGACGTCAGGTGGGCTCCACCAATTAGCCAGTTGGCAGCCCAAGAGACAACAGTCAGTGCTGGAACGAACAGCTTCCACCCATCACACCCACAAACTCAATTCATTAGCTTATACAGAACTTTAAACTCAACCAAACAACTAACCAACCAACACAGTCACCATGGCCATGAACAATATGATGCTCGCTCAATTGATGAAGGATCTTCAGGTAGGTTTCTTGCTGTGCCCTGGGAGGATACAACGCAAACTTTTTAGGGCAGTTTTTCTCAACAAAGTTTCCCTCTTCCAATCGGATGAATGAATGAATGAACCCACAGGATCCCGAAATCATGAGAGAAGCACAAAAGCTGATGCAAGATCCTGCTTTCCAACAACAAATGAAAAAGATGACGGCAAACCCACAATTTAAGGATCACATGAAAAAGACACAAGATGTACTGAAGGACCCCAAGAAGGTCAAGGAGATGGAAGAAAAAATGAAGGCTGCCGTGGATGAAGGCAACAAGGGACTGGAAGAAATGGAAAAGAAACGCAAGGAGATCGGCGACGAAGACGGCGCCAAGAAGGAAGAAGCAACAGAAGATGACGACAAAAAGCAACCAGCAAAGAAGGAAGAGGAGGAAGATGACATTCCCGACATTCCATCTTTGAATATCAACTAGAAAGCAAGAGCACCTTGCTTGTGCTGTCTGGATGGAGCCACACTGCCAAATGTCAAATTTATCAGTGCCCATCCATCCAGCTCTGCGATGATCCAAGTGTATGGTGGCATTGGTGTGTGTGTGTCACACTTCTCTTTGTAGCCGGTATCAACTACACACACACACGCTCTCTAACACACCCAAGGGATTCCCTGACCCAACTTACTCGAATGAAAACGGTAATTCTTACGCTATGAACTAATGAATGAATAAGACGTCTTTTACTGATGCACTTGGGGGCACGGCCCCCTGCCTCTTCATCTCGACAAGCAAATTTCCCGACTTGAGGTGGAAAGGTCCGCACAGCGACAGGTGCTCGACAACGGTATCGTCAGTGGATGAACGAATTGATTGCTTGAGGAAAGATGGGCTCAGGCTGCGAGGTTTCTTGGAAGACGGTTCAGTTCCATCTGCTGGACGACATTCGCAACCGCCGAGGTGCCGTACGGTAGAGGTGCAGAATTGCTGCCGCGGAGGTGTGGACCCTAGAGGTGCAGATTTTGCTGCAGAGGTGCGGATCGTACCGCAGAGGTGCAGAATTGTTTCCGCCGAGGTGCAGACCATACCGGTAGTAGAGGTACAGATTTTTGCCGCCGAGGTGCGGACCCTAGTCTGTGCAAATTTTTGCGGCCGATGTGCAGAGGCTCGAGGTCCACAGCCCAGCAGCAGCCATTGGCTAAACTGCTTGTACCTGGTACCGGTACCGACGCTGCACGATACCAGTCGGTACGCTGCACGGCATAGCAACGCAGAGTTCATTTTTGCCCTCGTTGAACACAGCAAACGAGGAAATCATTCGAATGGTTCAATCCAAGTGTCCTGGTCGTTTTTGGTAGTAGCTGTGGACAAATGCAAGCTGCCGTGGAACCGTCAATTGCTTGTGCCGTACTGTACTGCAGCCCGCCTGAGCGGAAGAAAAAGATTTGAGGTTGTTCCGCGTCGACGAATCCGCGTCAAGGGTGTTGAGTACCTGTTGAGTCGTTTTCCCAGCGATCTCTCTTGGCTGAATGAGTGAGCCGATGGCTGGAATCGAATCATTCGTTGCTTGTGCACCTACCGTAACAGTGGTGCGGGTGCTAGTGTGCGACGACCACGAACGAGTTGAGTTGCCTCTACTGTTCGTGCTGCATGGATTGGCAGAGGCGGTCAATGTTTTCACTGCCTCAAGCAACCAATTTAGTTACGGCCGCAGTAAAACCCACAATCAGCAAGGGCGTAGTTCCACGGACTGCCTTTCTCTCCTGCCTCCTCGCCATAGTCTACGCATTGCGAGAAGCCCCCAGTTGAACGATTTCTGCCTGCACCTAGTTCTAGCTAGCTAGGGGACTGACAGTCACTCGACTCGCCCACACTTCCATGATGCTGCTGGCTCGTACCATATAACACGAGGAAGGAAGCCAGCTTTGACCTGGCTAAAGCTGCTTAGCTAGCTATAATAAAGTCCTTTTAGTTTAGCAACCAGTCCATAGCCGTAGCTTGGATACTGAAACAACCCAACAACTCGACTCCAAATCGCCAGGTTCGGCCGTTGTCGACGGAAGGGGGCAACGGAGTGTTGAGGGAGTGCCGTTCGTGCCAAACTTGTCAACTCCCTCCGATGGGTTTCACCAAAAAGCTCTGGAGTACTGAAATCTTCATACTAAGGGCCGCCTACTTTGCTCTTGAAGCGCGATTTGTGACCTCTCCAAGATCCCTGTTCTTGGCGGACAACAAAACCGGATTCTCGCAAGAAGTGTAGAGCCCACACATAGCATCACGTTTACTGCCATTATCAGACAACAATATACTGCAACTACCTCTACTAATACAGATTGATTCAGCAAGATGGCGGCACCAAGCAAGAGCACAGAAGCTGTAGCATGGGACATGCAACCAGGCCAAGGTGAGGTTCAAGAACAATGGCCCATTGGTCTTCCCAAGCCTCCTTCCATGAAGAAACTGGAAGTAGACGAAATGGAAGATACCACTATTCCCATGTGTGTCGTCTTTAACGCCAACACAGTCGAAGGAGCAACCATGGTCCGCGTCTTGTCCGAGAAGGGCCTTCGCGTGGTGGCTGTGGTCCGTGTCTTTACGGGAAAAAAGACCAAAGAACTCATCAAATTGAAGCGCGTGGTAGTCAAGGTGGCCGATTGGAATGATCGCGAATCCTTGGTCAAGGCCGCTGAAGGCTGCGAACGAGCCTTCTTGGTGACTCGCTATTGGGAACGCTTTGACAGCCGCATTGAAGAACAAATGTCCATGGCCATTGTGCAGGCCACGGCGGACGCCGGTGTTAAGCACTTTGTCATGGCCACCTTTGAAGATACACTCGAACTCAAGGCCCGAGGATTAAAGTCACAGCTCATGCCCGATCGCAAGGGACGAATCTTTCCCAAATTCGAAGGAATGAGTGATATTGACGAGAAAGCCAAGGACCTGGGTATTTCCTTGTCCCACATGATGACATCGTACTTGGATTTGGAGGGTGCCAAGAAATCACTCATCTTGATCCGCGGACCGAATGGAAAGGTAATTGTGCAGCCGTATTTCAAAGACCCCTTAGCGCAAAGCACCGAGTAAGGAGGTGGCGGTTCCATCCACTAAAGAATATGGAATTGCTCCATACATGGCGGCCTGTGATGACTGTTTTGATCATGACACTGTACTCTTCTCTACCACTGCTGGATGATGCAGTTATATAAAGAAATTCAAGTTGTAACTACATTATATACCTACTTGTTCCACTCAGTAACGAGGCAACGCAACTGGATTTTTAGCTAGCTGGCTCAAAAGTAGTTCGCACTATTACATGTATGCTTGTCTGGTTTCATGCCCTTTCCAAAACCAAACCCCAAATGACCCTCACTTGTTTCAGCAAGCCACGGTGCAGCTGCTTCTTTTCTTCATACTATTACAACCCCATGGTTTGTTTTCATCTCTGTAGTCTTGCTTGCTTCTTCTTCGTCCTGGTTCCCCGGCGCCTTGATGAATTCAGCTGGTATCTACTGCTTCTTCTTCCTGGACCCGCGATGCCATGGAATCTGATAGTTTGGGATCTGACGCCTTGTTTGGAGCTGACGACGTGACTATAGTGCTCTTGAGGGGCACCTTTGCAAGAGACAAAACCATTCCGTAGATAAAAAAGTGTGACATGTCTGGCTCTCCTTTTCGCCATCTAGCTACTTGCATTCGGGTATGAACAAAAAAGTTTATTGCGCCTAGCTAGCTAGTTTGACAAAAGAGCAATTGAGAAGTCAAATAATGAATGAGATCAACGCGAAATGAATGATATTGAAGAAGACAAAGACAAACCACTTGCTTACCATGGAGTGGATAGCACATCCAGAACAAGACCTGAAAGAGGTACAACGCGGGTCCATCCTTCTTTTCTTGGATCTCATCATTGGTGAACACAACATTGAGCAAAAGCACGACAATGGCATACCAAAGAATTGTTCCCATGAGAAAGCAATATAGAACCGAATGGGTTGCAACCTCATGGGTTTGTCCGTTTGTTCATTTTTGCTTCCACTATTTTGCATCATGTGCAGCAATGATAATCCACCTGCGCCCCCTTGCTACAGTAATAAATGAGCAGGAAGGTTCGGTCTGAGGCCAGCCTGGAATCATTTTAAAAACACACCGCTGGCTTAACTTGGAGCAAGTCTGCGACCATTGTGACGTCATTAGAAGAGGAAGAAAGGCAAGACGAGAGTGTTGACACCAACACCAGACAAGATCTATCTTTGGTGCGGCTCCAACTGTTGCTGGTCTTCACGATAATGACAGTATTGCTTAATCTCTCTCTCTCTCTACTAGAGCTAGCTACTTTAAAATAAATACAAATAGCACACCACCATGAAGCAAACGTCTTTGCCGTTCCTCGCCGTTGTGTGCTCCGTGGCTCTGACGAACAACCGGGCTGCCGCCCGAACTTTCTTTGAAACAAACCCTACAACCAAAGTCCGATTGTTTGCAAAGCGAAACACCATTATCAACCAGTTTTATTATAACGAAGCGGCCGTCCAACCCAAACCAACCACACCGTTGGCAAATGACGACGACGACGATTTTAGTAGGACGGTTTGGAATACGATTCGTGGTGGAGCTACAAGCACAACCACCATGACGGATTCGTTTTTGTATGCCATGGATTTATTGGGTACGGCCGTCTTTGCCTTTAGTGGAGCCCTGACGGCCGGTAACAAGGGAATGGATCTGCTGGGAATGGCAATTATTGCAGCCGTGACCAGTTGTGGGGGTGGAACCTTGCGAGACATGGCACTCAATGGGGGAGTGGTCTTTTGGATGAAAGAACCTCTGTACCTTGTCATTTGTATGGGAGTGACATTGGCAACCTTTTTTGTGTGGCCCACACTGGAACAGACATTGGGGTGGAAAGGCTCCGAAGTACCGGTGTGTACGGCAGATGCCGTAGGTTTGGCGGCATTTGCGGTCTTGGGAGCCCAAAAAGCGCAAAGACATGAATTGCATCCTATTATGTGGGTCGTTTCGGGGCTGATGAGTGCTTGCTTTGGGGGAGTGATGCGTGATGTGCTGTGTTTACAACGACCCAGGATTCTGTATCCCGAACGGACCATGTACGGCACCGCACCCGTCATTGGATCTACCGTTTATGCCATGTTGGCGCAAAGGGCGGAATGGGAAATGCACACTCACAGAATTGCATCGGTCGCCTTTGCCGTTACCTTTTTGGTGCGAATACTGGCTTTCAATAATCCAAGGAGGGTACCCCATTGGAAACAGAATGAAAATTTGCTACAAAAGGTAATGAGAAACTAATACAACTCCAAGCCAACTCGTTTAAAATTTCATTGTGGACTGTGGGCTTCATCTTCCATTTCTTCATCTTCCAGTAGGAGAATCAACAGGAGACGATCCGTCCTCTCCGTGTCATGACAGGCAAAGTCATAGCTAGAGGTATTGGGGTTGACCAATTTTGGCTTCCTAGAGCTAGCTAGAGGTATGGTTGCAAGGTCAGACCTTGGCGGGAAGGACCTCCAAAGCTGGATTTTGGGATGCCAAAGCTTACTGCTGGCTTAAACACTTGCTAAAAACGAGAACCCACTCCAAAACTCGAGCGCCTCCGACACGGCGACAGCTTCTTCTGTTATGTCGAAATTTGTGGGTGAACTCTTCTACCACCTACGAGTGGCTCCCAAAAGGCCGACACACTACATGTTGTACTGGAGCAGTCACAATTACCTACCTGAAGCTACCTATACCTTTTCAACGCCCTCCAGACGACGGAGTTGAAGAGGCCCACTTGTTGGATCCTCCATCCAGCTTGATCAGCTAAGTACATCTGCTGTGACCTGAGTTTTTGGAGCTCATACCGTACGATTTCAGCGGAGCTGAGGAGCAAAATTGGACAGAACAATGGCTACCAGGTACGGCACTGCATCAGTTTGAGGTCTGTGCAATGACATAGTCTGCTACTGTGTATGGCACATGTGACGGTACCTGGTGGTATCTGAACTTTGTACTGTACCAGTCTGGTGTCTGGTACCTGTACCGGCGCTAACACCTAAGCACTTGCAAAGAGTGCAAACCAAATCGACTGGCTTTAATAAGGTTAAACGTTGGGTACCAGGTACCGGTGAGACTGAGGATTCAAGATTCAACGTTGAAACAATGCCCTCCCTCGCTTCCCTCCAGCTCCGGAAGCAGATCATCGTCGCCGTCCTCAAATTGAGGCATCTAACCAGTGAGAGAAGGCATCTCACAAGCGCCATGTGGCGGTGGTAAGCTCTAAGAATAGGACGAATGTCTGCTGTTTGCAGGCACGTGCAACAAACGTGTGGGGGGTAGAGGGTATGGGTACTATGGTGGGCTATAATAAGTAGGGATGATATTCAGCTAAAAAAGTGTTGCGGAGAGGAGCTGCGGATGATGGAAATGCACTACAGTGGCGACAACCAACGGTGTGACTTCGACGCCACTGAAAGAGTCGAGTCGCCTCATTCAGAGTTGTCTTGGTGGCCGAGACGGTTCCATATGCGTTCATAGAACTCGCGCTCGTTGCCATGAGTGGCAGTTTCTGGGTCTCCCTTGTTCTTGGAGCCGCCCGCATTTTCCTCCCGGTGGAGGGCAATCAAGTTGTCCTTCACCTCTTGCGGGCAAAGAGGACATCGCTTCATGTGGTCAAACAGGTCCGGGATCTTGTTATGGATGGTCCGTCGCCGCGCCGGGAACTGGCGGCAGAGACCCATTCTTCCAGCCTCAAAGCAGTACTTGCATCCAAAGCCCGGCATGCCATCAGGAAGGCTCTTGCGGTTGCCCTTCTTCTCCGATGGAGCCAGATGAACACGATAAACCTGTTCCATGAGAGCAAACAAGAAACCCGAGACGAGACCTCGGTCACTCCTGTTTATCAGAGTCACAGGAGGCTGAGGTTCAGCGAAGTCTTCGGTGCCAAATGGTGGAATCAGGGCCGCCTCAGCAAAGGATCGCTCGAAGATGTGGATTCCTCCTTTTCGTCCGTCCTCGGTGACGTCTACCAATCCTTTCTTCTTGGCAGCGTGCGCCCAATAGCCCTTGGCGTTGGAGGCACCTTGGGCGTTCATGTTCTGCAAACGGACGAATTTGCTCTTGATGTTTTCTGGCATCTCGGGACAGTGTGGAAAATGTTCCCTCAACATCATGGTGAAGGACTGATAGATCTTGTCGATCTTGGATGGGAAGCAGGATGCTCGATTGGCTCTAGTTCCATGCTGAAGATGTGCACAGAAACGGCAGCGAATCCCGACCTGGCCGACGGTATGTGTCTTGACAGCATTCCTAACCTTGATGCCTTGTTTGCTGACACGAAAGAGCTCAAGGATCTCGGACCGGATGAAACACTGGAATTCTGAGAGCCAGTTGGAATCTTCTTCAACAGAAAATGGGAAGTAAGGTCTTTGACTGAAATGAGGAGTCTGCGCCTCCTCAAAGGGTGGAAGCATAGAGTTGGTTCCTTCCGTTGCCATCATGGGCATCTGACGTTGGAGAGGAGGAAGTTGCTGCTGTTGCTGCCGTTGGGTCGGAGCGCAGAACATATCGTTCATCATTCCTCTTGACTGCTGCTGTTGCTGATGAGGAACCATGCCCTGCGGAAGAGCAGCTTGTGGCTGAGAGCTGCCACTCATGCGAGCCAACTGAAGCATCCCGGCGGTGCTAAAGGGTTGCGTGTTATTCGCCGCTTGATTGGTTGCCTGTGCGGCAGTATTTCCGGAAAAGCCAGACTGCCACTGCTGTTGCCCCATGGACGCAGCCTGCATTGGCATTTGGTTGAAGGACTGGTTCAGCGCCATCATGGAGGAGGAGGAAGCTGGGGCGGCACCTAAACCGTTGAAACCGGTCTGCTGGGAAAGGCGGTTGTTCAACAGTGTGTAGTCCAACATGCCAGAAAATAGCTGCTGGTTGCCCATCGAGGAAAACTGCGGCATGCCTTGGAGATTCTGCACGCCTTGCATCTGGCCAAAGGCGGGTTGGTTGGAATTCTGTGTGGGCAGAACGAGGAGTTGGGCAAGGCGTGAGTTGGAGCAATCAAACGAGGCACAAAAAATCACGACTGGGACGCTTACAAAGGAGTTGGGGTTGCTCTGCCACATCTGTTGTTGGCTCCGGGCAGGGCCGTTTCCTTGCATGGCCATGTTCCCAAGGGCCCCAGTTCCATTGCCATTAAACATGCCCATTTGTTGGGTCATCATGGTCATGTCGTTGAACAACGTTGCAGACTGTTGCTGCTGGCGGTTGAGTTCATCGTCCAAGCATCTTTCTGCCTCTGATGTTGTCATGTTGCCAAAGTTACCTGCAACAGACAGTTTTCCAAAGTTACCTGCAACAGACATGGACTGAGTGCTGCCCATTTCGTGATCACTCTGTATTTTCAAACCAAAGCAAGGAAAATGTTAGCTTGATTGGCGAAGACACACACACAGACACGACCGCACTTGGACGCACTTACCAATAAGCTATTAGAGGTTGCACTCATGTTCTGGGTATCATCAAAGTGAGAATTATCTAGCCTAGATCTCTTGCTGCTTTCACTGTGCGCCTCGGATTCCTCATCAATATCTGAGTTTCTCTTGAGAGGGTTCTCCGCCATGAGACTGTACGGTTGCATGGTATCCATGTCAACGGTACCATTGTTGCTGGTGCCAGCACCAACCTGGAAAAGCATCTCGTTTAGGTCAGAAGAAGGAGCAGCAGAGTCGTGATTCAAACCATTACCTTGGTCTGGCATCCCTGGCATGCTAAAGATGATATCCTCAAGAGCTAGATGCATAGTCGACAAAAACTTGGCTGTTGGGGTTCCTTCTGTGGTTTTGGTGAAGGCTGGAAAAGTGAGCTGCCAATGTGTCTGAGATCATAGCCCCCTCACTGGTTTTGGCCAAACTCGAAGATTGCTTTGGGGACTGTTCGACAGTTGCCGAATTTTGAAGATTGAAAACAAAAGAAGTGGGGCGCTCCCATGTGGCCTGCATGTGCCCACCTGCCCAATATGTCTCCAACAGAAAAGCTCAGACTAGGTCGTAGAGCTGTCGTAGTCTTAGGGCACGGGCGGTACGAAGCTTCGTGGATATGATATTTACCTGAGTAATCAGTCCCAAAATGTTCAAAGGAAACCATTCGTTAAACATTGTGTTGGGCATGTAGAACAGCCCCGGTGCCCGGCAACTCACTCGTTACTTTGTGAGGTCAGAGAGACGAATTTGTGGAATGAGTTGCCAAACAATGGTTTTTAACGTTTTTAGCGGAAGATCAAACTGCCGCAGCTCGTCTTGTTTTATCTATCCTAAAAGCTTGGGCTCCAGCTACATGTACTATTAGTACAGCTCATGTGCACACTACACTACTGGTTGTAGCTCGGGCTATTACATCTTGCAATCTAAAAACTGCAGACAGGAGAAGAACTTGACACTCACAGTCTCCTAGCTGGAACCATAGCAGAGTTCTCACATTTCATTGGTCCACATCAGACGATTTATCATCTGTCTTTTCCTTTTTGTTTCTAGGGAACCACATAAACATTCCTGGTACCGGTACCATACATCAATGGTTGGAAGGAAATGCAAAGCAAGGCATAGCAGTGGCTGATCTCCCCTTGCAGATCTGGAACTCTTGCATGTGATTGCCATTATGATTGGTGGTGTCACCACACCGGTTGCAGACGGGACAACCAGCTTCACAGCTTTTAAAAATGGAAAGCTTCTTTGAGAGTGAGGAGTTTGGAAACATCCTTCTCTCTGACATACAAGTCACATTCAGAGGCGTTGCCTTCTTATACGGCGCGATGCCACGGGAATTCCCGGTGCTGGTGGATGGAATAGAGGTTGTGGTTCGTGGTCTCGTGTCAACCAAGGGCACAACGTCTCTCGGGGAGGCCAACTTGCGTGCCGTCATGACAGCCACCTCCCCAGAAGGATCCCAAAGTTGGACCATGACTGCTGTGGCTGACCCCTTTGTCACATCAATAGGACTCCCCAACTCTCGCTGTTTCCAATAGTATGCTCATTCCCGCATCACTCGACCTTCGGGGTGTGGCGCTCCTTCTGGGAGACGGAGTTGTGGAACCTGTGGTTTCATTGACCACGCCCTGCAATTTCAATAGAACACTATATTTAATATGTAGATTATGCTACCAGGTACAATGAACCTTTCTGGTGAGCTGCCAGTGCAGTCGTACCTAGATCTACTAGTACCGCAGACAGCCAGATTGACTTCTTCGAGCCATCTCTTATTGGCGGTAGTGGCGGGACGTTATCTGCGCTGGGCGGCATCGCATGTTGAGTTTGGCAAGGGTTCCCAACACTCGTTGGAAACGCCTTTGTTCGGAGAGGGTGCCACGTCTAAATAAAAGGAGTGTTGAAAACTGAACCAAGAACCAAGCAAAAGTACTATGATACGTACTTTGAGAGCTCTTGGATCTTGAGTTCGGTAAAGCCGCAATGCCGCAATGCTGCAATCGACAGCAGCAGCTATGGAATAATGTCAGAGAACAGGAACAGATGCCAGCTTCCATTAAATAATCCTGGGTCCTTGTTTCAGGAATAGGTGCCCGGGTCGGTTGCCGACTTGCAGATTATATCCAGAGCTGACGCAGCGTTTGTTCGCCATAAGTTGGATCTGTACAAACTTTGTCCTGTGTGCTTCCGTCAATTCCACCTTGTTGATGTTTCTCGGTTGCGAAATGAGATGGTTCAAGCAGGCTTGGAACAACTAGACTTAGCCCACCACAACCAGTTAGAAAGATGCCATGGGAGTTGTCGAAAGGGCCTTTACTGTCACTTTAGTGTACTCATACAGCTTAGTCACAGTTTCCAGTACCGGAACTGGATTGCCAAAGTTTTTGGCTCATCTTTTGGCGGATTTCAGCAACCGTGGAAGTTGCTCAGAAGGTTTAACATTAACGTGGACGGCCGGATCTCTGCTCTTCCAGGACGACGATCGGGTTCTCTGAAAGAGGAACGATCACCTGAGCTGGCTAATCTCTTTGCTTTTGGCTTCCCCACCATGGAACCAAATCTACTTTACATGAGCCAGATCGAAGCGGCTACATGAAATGGCATAATGCATCCCGTCCCATGCATTCATAGCGGTCTTTTGGGGGTCGCCATGGAGTAAGCTCGATTCCGGTTAGGCCGAGGGGCCAAAAAGCGGATTGTTGCGATTTTCCAGTGTAACCTTGCACACGATAGTCAGACCTCTCTGGTTTATTTTTGATTGCTTTGTCCTTGCCACCGCCTTCGGCCTGTCGACCAGTCAATCACCCCACGACCCCGAAGGAAATGTTTGGATACGGACTGTGCTGAGGCGGCCGCCAATGCCGCGGAGTACTGCAGTTTCTTTCGAATCGAACCATACGAGAGTGGTCTGATGTTGCCAGTCGAATCATTAGAGCATGTTTGCTCTACTTCAGATTTTTGAGCCGAGGACCAGGGCATGCATCATGCCTGATCACGGGGGTCCTTGTAACTGAAAGAACCACGTTCTGTTTGCTTCCATGGATTTTTCAAGAGAAACCGCTGGAATTGGTAGCCAGGGCATTCGCTTGGTCCGAGAGCTGCCCCATTGAATTTTGTGATGCTTCTTCTTTTGGGAAGGTTGCAGGTGTGAGGGTATTGTATATTCATTCGATTCCTGGTCGGAGCGGTTGGTTGTATGGGATAAGGCTGGATGTCTCCTTCAAACTGATGTGGATTGTGGTGTGCTGATTGGACTGATGACTCCCGTACTTTGGTACCTGATGCTTTTGTGTTCAGGTCTGTGGAAAACCAAGGCCGTTGGACAACCATTGATTTTGCTCCCTCTGAGAAGATCTCTGAGAAGAGACAGGTATCAGCGAGGTGCATCAGCGTTGGTAATCTCGCAACCCAATGCAATGCAATGCAATTCAATGCAATTCAATGCAATGCTGGTCAAAAACGTGGCCCTGAACAAGTCTTTGGTGAGTGCAGACCACTGTGGGCCGGTTTTGTGCCACTAATGTCGTGTTGAGGTTTCGGTATCTCATAGGTGGTTCCAGTCTTTGTGTGGGCGTCTCAGGCTTTCGCTGCAGAAGACACCAGAATCGCTGATCCCACTGTGTCGAAATTGATAAATGGTAAAGCAACCATCAATCCGACTTCAGTCTGCCTGAGACTGTCGGACTCATTTGAATTGGGGCATGCTTCATTGAAATAATCATCAACTTGACTTGCTGCATGTCGTTTCTTTGACACCGCAACGATCCGGGGGAGCCCAAAACTCCCTTCTTTCAGTAATGCCCGTGCTGCTGAAATTCCAACTGGACCAGCGCCAAGCACCAAGACATCGATTGCTTCTCCTGCTGCTGCCATGGTGGGTCTTTGAACAGTGGTTGCGGACAAGAAGTGGCGTTGCATTGGCAGTGAAAGCATTTATGGATGAGAAGACGATCCTGGGTAAGACGGGATGATGGATGAGGACGTTCCATGCTTGGCCTTGAAGAGAGATACAACATGTCACGACGAGGCTGTAGATTTCGATTCACGCTCCTGGTGATTTTCGTCGTTGACTGCTTTCCAGTTGCGACGCGCTTGTGATTTCTCATGAGCTGGATGGCCTGTCGTACCGTACGTTACAGAAGATATGCACTCCTGCGTCTTCTGCTGTCCCAACAGAAGTGTCGAAGAGTGGAAAATACCACCGCACTTGCGAGTAATTGGTATTACAACGACTTTTGTTTCGAACAGCGGAAAAGAAATTGCACAAACCCTCTTGTTACTTCTGACAGGCGGTACGACGAGTCGACGGTCCGGTACCCACCCAGGAAGAGCGATTTCTTCTTCAAAGTCAACTGTTCCTCTACTAGAGTTTCATGTTTCCTTCGACCACAAGGAATTCCGTCCGCCGGAGCCAGAAGAGAATCAAGAAACATCACGCGGAGCCCGCAGAGCGTTGACATCACACCGCGGGCTGCGGTTTGCGGCCAAGAGCGGCTCCTCCGGCCCTCCTTTTTGTCGTCTTTTGGGTGGGCAATCAAACACAAGCTCCAATACCTGGTGGTGCTACATGTACAAGTTGGGAGAAATCCCAGACACTTAGCTTCAGTAAAAGCCCTGCCTTGGCATCTCACACAATATACGAAAGGGTCTTCCCCTTCATCTCATTGAGTTGGCTGCACTGTGGAAATACTGTGGCCATGCGGAGGCCACGTGGGTGGCCTCGTGGCCAGTCCCAAACGTGATTAAACAAGAAGTTGGTTCTGAAAGTCTCTCACAGCGAGGAAAGCATCCGACCTGCGTCTTTTTAAAAAGCCCCAGCAAGAACATCAGGTCCCAGAGCCCAGTAGACCCTTTGGTTTCACGCCGCAACTGGTTTGGCTCGTCCCGCTTGATCCCAGGGTCCACATTCCAGTTAGATGACTGGATGTAAACCAGGTCGGGCCATGTGTGGGCAGGCACCCAATTCAGGGGCCGCAGGAAGGTAGGAAGGAGGGTTCTATAGTGGTCTCCCATCGCCTTTGAAACGAGGTTCCGGGCCCACGCAGAAGCCCACACACAACCTGTTGGAGGTTTTGGGCCGTAGCTTCGTTCTTAATAGTCAAGCACCAGCGGCCATTTCATTTGGAGCAGCAATGGACTGTGTTCATGAAAGAGTTGGCCAAGGGGCTTCAAGCCACCCTTGAGTCCCTCTACTAGATCTGTTGTGCAGCCACCGCCAAGCCCAGCGCCAGCATCACCTACTGCTCCTCAAGCTTTGGCTGCGGCCGGAGGATTGAAAGGAGATGAGATAGACGACTGATCATGTAGTCTGATTTGACATGCATATGGCAAAGCGTTTTCGGACAACAGAAGACTCCGATCCAGAGAGAAGAAAGGAACAAGCCATCTGTTGGTTCGTCGAATGCCGTGAAACGATTACGATTGTCCGTACTAGTAGCATCTCTTCTGGGGACAAAGGCTTGGATCAAACATTGCAGAAAGTACAAAGCTATGGTGTCCCCGTGTGTGTACTGCCTATGAACCAGAGAGCACAGATTGGGGAAACCGCAATAGGCTTTAGGAAAGCAGAGTGCACATTCTTGCGTCCCAAGCATGCGCTTCGCTCTATCTTATTTCCGTACCAGGGCTCTTACCAGCTGTCTGTTTGCTCCCCGACGGTAGGTCAACACCACAGCAATTTGCAGTCTCTGTCGAGCTTCGTTAGCCTATGTCTATCATTTATCTACCACTCTCTTCTGGAGCGATGGCTCCACCAATCGAGGAGAAAATTTCGCTACCGCAGTTGCTCAGCTTTCCTCCTGCCTTGTACCGGTCACACCTTTTAAGAGGGGTGGTGTCAGTTTCCTATTATAATGCAGTCAGTAGTTGGCGAGGCCTTGCAGCACCTATCGACGGACCCTTTTTGCTTATCCCTTAATATTGTTACCGCCGCATTGTCAGCTGGAGAAGAATCATTGGATTCAATCGATCAGTCTGAGTACACGTTCCTATGGATTGCACTGCTATGCAGTGCAGTTTAGTGTGAGGCGCTGATGGCTGTATATTATTTGTTCCCAACTACAAAAGGCTGGCTCATTGATCATCCAGCAGCCTGCCATCATCAGTTTTGGCCATATTATTATGTAGGTTTCTTGCTGTTGTCGTCTTTGGAATGACATTTGGCAGGTTGCATTGACTTTGGGCTCCGTGCCATGTCGCCACGTTGGGATATACCTTATTATTGTGGTCTTTCGTGCTGTGCAGCTTTTCACAAAGACGACACATGGTACTGGCATGATCGGATGCTGTCCCATGGTGCACTCGGTAATGGTCCATCCACCAAAAGTAGGACAGATACCGTGAGTTGTTGCGATCGAGTTCCAGCAATGTGTGTGCCAATTCTTTGGGAGACTCGTAGTCCATGACGTTCAAATGCGAATGAGGAGGACTTATTTGGCTGTAATTGGCGCCACCCATGACGACCACGAGGGGAGGATCCGTTCCCTCCATTCGTTGAAAGAACTTTTCCGTGACATAGTCTTGACACAAGCTATTTTCAAAGGACAAATAAAATTTGTAGTCTCGATGAACGGCAGCCGTGCAAGTGTCGTCTGTTGTGCCTTGTTGTTGATGTTGATGGAAGGATTGGTTGCAGGGGATATCCCCACAGTCGCCCATAATGTCCACGGGAATATACTGTCTCAACTCGGCCACGTAATCTTCTCGACGGGACGGACTGTCACAGCGCGAGGCAATCCACGCTACCTTTTTGGGGCGTTCCGCTAGTTTGTAAAAAGCGTCTTCTTTGTATGGCAATACAGTTTGAAAAAAGTCTTGTTCGTTGTACGTGTACGTCAAAAAGTCGGGTGGTTGTTGCCATTGGGAAGGGAAATAATGGTTGGATGACGTTTCGGCCGCATCACTCGGCTGTAAGAGTTCAAAAAAGCCGTAGGGACGAGGAAGATCACTGTCTAGTCGGTAGGTCATGGTCCAGTTGAAAAAGTTGTCATTGCTGTCGCCATGATGTGTAGGTACTAGTAGTGGATGATGATAGCTGAGTGGTGACTCCATGGTCATGTAGATGAATCGCTGTGATGGTTTTCTCCATTGATTCATGCCTTGCATTTCTTGTGTACTATCAAATTGAGCGGCATGAATGAGAATGGCATCGAATGAAGCGAGTTGTTTCTGGGTGATGGTTCCCATTTCTTTTCGTTGTGCCACTGCAAAGCAGTAGTTGACAGGACAGTCGGCGTCCAGAAATGGCTTTCGACCTTCCCCAAACTGAAAGCTGTCAAAGTCCCAATATTGATTCCAGTAGAGAATTGTGTAGATTTTTCGATGGGCGTCACTGCTGTTGTTGCGTAGTGGGGTCATTCGATCTCTCCGTTTGGAAGGCATGTAGAGTGACACGAGCAGGGAAATGGCTGCTGGCGTGTCGACCACTCCGTATCGACGCATTTCTGCCAGCATATAGCAGCTGATGACCCCCATGATCATGCACACTATGATCCATGTACAGATCAGCCACGCCCATCGAGACTCGCTGGTTTGACAGCAAAAATTCGGCAAGGATCTTTGCCGTCGCTTCCTTCTCCGCCTCCGCCGTCGTGCGACAACGGCGTCTCGGCCATGGTGGGATCCCGCCGATTCGAAAATCTCTAAATACGGATCTCTCTCATCGTCGACGTCACATGCTGCTGACACCACGGTTTCCAAATCTCGAACGACCGCACGATGTCGCATGCTACTGCTATTGAGGAGGAACCATGCATTAATAAATTCAGCTGGTGCTGCTGCTCTATCCAGTACGGTGCTGTACTATAGCTGATGGGGGCCTTCCAATTGAATTGGAATGGGGGACTGTCGCCATGGACATGAAGAGTGACATTGACAGTGGACATGCGAGAGGAGGGTTATTGCCAGCAAGGAAGTTACTAGTAGATGACGTGGCAAACCTCAACCCTCGGGTACCAAACCTTTGACCCAGAGCTGACTTTTAAGGTACGGTAAGGCTAGGGGTTCCATTTTTCTATTTTTAATTAAAACTAATTAAAATTATCAGAAACTGATTTCAAATTGAGTCCATTGGCGATCGCCGGCGATCCCTGGTGATCGCCGGCGATCGCCAATGGACTCGACTCAATTTGAAATCAAATTCTGATAATTTTAATTAGATTTAAAATTTAAAAAGACAGTTACAAGTTGAGTCCCACGAAGGGGCGCACTTAGTAAATATTTGTAATAAAAATATAATTACCAATAATTTTGAAAACTCTACGGTAACCCCAACCCTCCCATGAAGCACCTTGCTAAAGATCCAACGAACCAACGATCCCACCAAGCAAGAAGCAAGGGCACAAGGCTTGCTCGACTGCTGTGGACTCGACTCCATGTACATTACGGTACCGTGTAAACAATGGCGTCCTTTTGTAGTAGAGATCCCCACCTTCCATCTATGATCGTCTTTGATCTGGACGATTGTCTCTGGTCTCCGGAAATGCATGAGTTGTACGCCAAGCCGACCGTTCCAGTTCATGGTATTCTGAATCCACACAAACCTCCGAACGAACAACTGCAGGGTGTTGTCGGCTTGTCCAACCAGCATGGCGATACCGTGACACTGTACGAAGGAGCTCGAAGAGCCATGTATGAATTGGTGACCAATCCAGAATATCAAGGAGTCATCATCGCAGTGGCATCGACGTCCTTGGAACCGTCCTATTCTCATGCTTGCTTGCAAGGATTGGAAGTGCTGCCCGGAAAGACACTCCGCCATGTCATTCAGTGAGTTGAGTTAGTTGACTGTGAAACAAAACAACGGTTGAAAAGAACAGCAGCAGTTGGAAGGTTTTAGTCTCATGCCACTCTCTTTGTTGTGCTGTGATATTTTAGGTACGATCAGATTGGGCGGACTGGCAAGTTGACTTCCCGAAAAACTACCCACTTTCGAGAGCTACACAAGGAGAGCGGCATTCCCTATGAAGAAATGCTCTTTTTCGATGGTGAGCTTGTAATTTATTTCTGTTGTTCCAGTGGACCATGCGTGTTTGATGCTTGTTCCTGATTCTATGAGTTTTATATTATGGTATAGACTGCAATTGGGGCGATCATGTCGGAGACATTGACAAGTCATTTGGAGTGATTGGCCAACGTACGCCTAATGGTCTACAGTGGCATGAGTTCCAACAGGCATTGGGAAAGTACAAACAGCGAGCACTGGAGGCAACCGAAAAGATTTTAAACATGGTGAGATGATGAAGGAATCGAATCTTGGGAGTTGGGGCCGGCGGAAACCAACGGTTTCTCTGAAAGTCGGTTGTGGAAGCAGCTATTGGGTCTGGAAAATATGAAATCAACTGGAAGTCGTTCGTCGTGGTAAGAAACCGTGCTGGGGATGCAAAGGTTCTTCCTGAAGTTGTCACAATCCGCCAAAGACTCCGGTGCCGTTCCAAGATCTTTCATGGGAGGAAAATCACACACGTTGTACTCTGAACCACCAATCCTTGACCTCATCATCATCCCGCCCAGGTAGTTCAAGGTTTCAGAGGAGTGTAGTAGAGATTCGTACTATACCGCAATGTACAAGCGAATCAAATCGAATGAATATATCTTTTAAAACTATGTACCGGATGGGTCGTGCATAACTTGAAAGCAGAATCTGGGGGAATGTAGCTAGAAAGTGGAAAATTTGTTCTGCCTGGATGGAGAATCAGTCTAGGTTGCCGGGCAACCCTGTTCAGAGAATAGTGCAAGCAGAGGCGGTGCCTTCCTGTTCAGGGGTCCTTCATCTGTTGGCCCGTGTTGATACCGTAGTCGCCCAGCAATTTTGGTGGACATGTTGCAAACATTTCAAATGGCCATTTCGAGCAGCATCGGTACGTTTGGATGTACTAGTATCGCAAGGACACTGGTTTGCAAGTACCGGTACATATTTCAGGATTTGTTACTAGTAGATGGCCACTTTCTGCATCAGAACTGCCACGGAAATTCATTCCGTCGACATTGATTTTCATGTGCTGGTAATGTGGAGCGGTGCCTTGGTTCACAAGGCGCAAGGCAAAGTTGCCCTGTGGCCCACCAAAAGGATTCTATGGGGTTGTGTGCGTCCTCTTTGTCAGCATAAGTACAACTGTATATACAGGCATGAAGATAATGAATGTTCCATGCCGAAGGAGCGGGCCGGCGTCGGAAATTTCCCTCTCAACACGACTGATTGAGCCTTCATTTTTTCGAGCCTCTTCGGAAGCCAAGAAAACCATCCCAATAAGCATCACGTTCGATAGATGACAACATTCAATCTCCAAATTGCTACCCTCTGTATTAACTAAACGACCGCTTATCCAGATTTCGAGTGTCAGAACGACGATGAGAGGAGAAAATGTCAGTCCTCGCAGCATTGCACAAGTGGACGATGACTTGGGCCCTGAGGGATGCTATTTGGTTTACGAGCCAGATTCGGGTGGCAGATTGATGATTGTGTATAGCCATGGCTACGTCCCCATGAATGCCGTTGGCTTCTGGTGTGCCGGAGAAGGCAAGGGCATTCAGGGCTTCAAGTTCAAGCAAGCAGGAGGTCGAAGTGAACTGATCAAGGGCATTGCCGGTGGTGACTCGAACCGTCGCAAGTACTTTGTGGGGTGGTGTCAGTTCATCAAGATGGCCAAGGTCAGTGCTCTTCCGCTTCGTATGTGTGTGCAGTAGCATGGATCTCCCTGCAAGGTGTATGATTGGACCCAGAGTTGAAGCAAAACTTCTTCAAGTAGAGACACTGCGGCAAACAACACTCTCAAAATCACAACCCAAGTTGACTAACTTTTTGCTGCTTTTCGCTGCTCCCCTAAAGGCCATGAATGGACGTGTCATCAAATTTCCCAATGCGATTCAAGGAGTTGAGGTGGACATTTATGGATACCGACAATGTGACTCTCAGCCGGACTTTTTGTGTCTGGATGACTCCTTGGTTGACATCAATCACTACGATGCCATTGCCGTGATACCGCGGCACAAGGAGTTCTTGAAGGGAGTCAAATCCATTGTAGCAAGCAATTTCTTGGAAATGGGCAATATAGCGGGAGCCTCTTCTACCATGGTGTAAACACAAACAAACGGAATCGAACAAGGGAGACGCGACAAAGGCTGGGCAATGGGTCTTCTCTCCCTCTAAAAACATCAACAACAACGCAAGGCACAAAAAGTGCTTTTACGGTTGAACTTTTTCATGCATAGTTCATGGACAGGGCCCTTTGGAGAAGAAGAATTAATGAGATATCCATCTGCATGGTACATAGAATGCATCGTCCAAAAATATAGTAGTAGTTAAATGCAAGTTCTACAGCATCCTTTGACTTTATGTTGTTGCGTGTTTTCATGTACATGTACATGCGCATGTACCATTAATCCACTGGGTCCGAAGTGACCATGATGGAGTATGTAGTGTTGCCTTCCTCGTACATGATAAAAACGACCTCAGTGCCAATATCTTCGATGCCGTCAGGCAAGGGAAGAAGCGATGTGGCATCTTGCCGGGCTTGCAATAGCTCTTGTCCGAACTGCTGCGCAACGGCACGTCCTGCATCACTCAGTCGACGATGATCCCCAATCGTACCGTCACGAGCGACCGAGAAGGAGAGGTCATCCTCGCCACGTAAACCACGTCGGTTGCAGACACAACTGGAATCCATATGAGCCGTGGAAAATGATTCAGCCTGCGCATAAGATACTTCGTATCCAAGATCTTCCAACCCAGCAATGGTGATTCTTGACATGGGAAGCTGTTGTGCAGCACTCGGTGTCATGAGTTCGGTTCGAAAACATTTTTCCTCCCAATGACCACAGTTGGAACCGGCACCACCGTAGCTCTGTTCGACGGGGATTGCCTTGTTGCAGCCGCTCAGTTCACGGTACACCTGGGAAGCTTTGGAGTTATAAGCGTACGGGCAAGGAACAGTCCGTTTTGTGGTCATACCGTTGGCCATCCAAAGTGGACCAATACCCAGCTGCAACGAGAAAAGAGGACATGTTGTTATGAATGACGAAGTCATGAGGACACGTGGGAAAACCGATGTCTTTGTTGCAATCCATCAGATACATACCACATGTCCCATCTCATGCAACTTTGATGGCACAAAAAGAAATAGAATGAACAATATCGTGTCATGTGAGCAATTGCTTTGACGTGCATAACGTGGTCCAGCTGCCAGGGTGCAATGGATTATGCACCGGATGCTCGCATGGCACTTACAATGACCCCAAGCAAGTTGATGAAGGCGACATCCGCACTGTCAAACACCATTTCTCCCGTAATCGGCGTTCCGCTGGTACGATAAAACCGAGGACCAGCGGCACCTAGAATCCCGCTTCTCCCGTCGATTGCCTCGTATTTTCCACAGATGTATAGATCATCAATACCCTGTGGCCAAGGCCCGCAGGCACTCTCGCCTGGAAGCACATCATTGATGTCCGGGAGATCCCCCATGATGACCGATTTCCACTCGCGGATCGCACTTTCAAAGACAGAGCTTTGTGAGACCCCTCGCAGTTCTTGGGTTGCAGTTTATTGGAAACCATGGTGTATGTGTTGATGAGAAACGGTGAGAAACAAAACGCAAGCTCATGAATACAACCAAGATGCGGCTGGCGTACCTAGTGCGATATTAAAATTGGACGTTTGAGGATTGTTGCTGACTGGGGCTGGTGTGGGAGCAGGTGACGGTGCGGGAGATGGCCGCGGAGAAGGTGGCGGAGATGGTGCTGGAGATGGAGCTGGTGTTGGCCCAGGTGTTGGGCCTGCTGCGCCAACAGAGTACACACTGAGCCTATAACTTCCCCCACATGTCATTCCTGGCTCTGTAGGACATGCCATGTTGCACTCAGACTCTGGGGCTTGATTGTATGCCCAATAGCTGTTTCCACAATGACACTCACCACCATTTTGTACACCTGCAAATGCATATGATCTGTAATAACAGCCAAGAACACACACGGTAATACCATATCCCTGCCCAATAATCGTGTCCATGGCACGCGGGTTCCGGTCATTCCAGCAACCCAAGTAAGTTTTTTCCAGATTCACTGTGGGAACCGGAGTAGGGACTGGTGTGGGGGCAGGTGAAGGGACAGGGGTGGGATGAGCTGTGGGGGCAGGTGAAGGCACAGGTGTAGGAAATGGAGACGGACCTGGAGATGGACCTGGAGTTGCAAGTGTTGGTCCAGGAGTGGGTCCTGCTATTCCCACTGAGTAAACACTGAGTGTCCATATACCACCACATGTTTCCCCTGGCTCTCTGGCACAATTCATATCACAATCAGACTCTGGGGCTTGACCATGCATCCAATAGCTGTTTCCACAAAAGCACTGATTTCCAAAGGAAAGACCTGCAAACGAATATCCTCTATCATTGCAGGCAATCAGACAAGTGGATATGCCATGACCATTGCCAACAGTTGCCTGCATTGCCGGAGGACTGTTTTGATCATTCCAGCAGCCCATGTATGTTCTGGCAAGAGGAGTTGTGGGTCCTGGTGTTGGATCAGGTACGGGGGCAGGAGACGGCGCAGGACTTGGTGCAGGTGTGGGCTGAGGTGTGGGGAATTGTGTTGGTAGAGGAGTTGGGAAAGGTGTGGGGTTAGGTGTTGGCCTTGGTGTTGGCATTGGTGTTGGAAACGTTGTTGGCACTGGAGTTGGACTTACTGTTGGCCGTGGAGTGGGCCTTGGAGTAGGCCGTGGAGTGGGCCGTGGAGTGGGTCTCACTGTTGGCCTTGGTGTGGGGCTTGGGGATGGAGCTGAAGTGGGTACCAAACTAGGTACATCCGACGGCATGTCGGAAGGAACCATCGATGCATCGCCATCGGCTCCATCACCATCTCCACAATCCAGAAGTGATAATGTCGAGTGCCACATACTGCGAAAGCTGCTGACTGCGCTTCCAAAGTAACTTCTTTCCGATCGATCCAAGCCATCATCCATTTCCTGGAGCTGTCTTTGCAATGACGCAGAAAGGCGTAGTTTTGCTGTGTTCCACGGCCATCTTGATCTGTCGTTCGTTCCTTTGGAATCATTTCTGTCTTGCTGTTGACCCAGGAGCAACCCGAGTCCGAGGATCGCCAATAGCACACTACCGAGAAGCCAAGAACTCCTCATATTTCAAAATTCCAACAAAGATTGAAATGTTACCACCACTTCACGCTCAAGAAAGCCTCAACGAAAAAGCTCTCAAAGCTCGTCGTCGTCTCTTGCTAATGGCGGCAAGTCAACTTTGCATCCAGAAGTTTGTTTACAGTCTAAAGCAAACTTGCAGTACAGATAGTGAGGAAGAGCTTTGCCAAAGAAAAGTAAACAAAGCAACCGTTTTGGATGGAGGAGACGAACACGAATTGTGGGCACAAAGATACAGCTCTAAGTCGCGAGGATGGCTATGGTAATTAGACCGTTCACTCAACCGTTGAAACCCAAATTCCATGGCTGGCGTTAACTATCTTCTTCCTCACAATTCCGCGTGATTCATTCCTGTTCCGATTGCGAGTGGAGGCAATCAACTATTTTAAAATAGATCTAAACTTCAAAAAATTCTCCATCGTGGAAAACCAAACCAACAATAGCAAGCTTTCTTTGACGATTTATTACTGTACCATGGCAGCTTTTCTATTCAGTGCCTGCGGCGAGCTCTGCAATGGAGTCTCTGAGGTCTGCAGTCATGTCTGTACCAAGCCCTGTCAACTTTGTGGCAAACTCTGCGATGGCTTTTGTGACGGCTTGGAGAATTGCTGCAGTTTCCTGGGCGAAGGCTTGTCCAATGGTTGTGAGGCGTTCTGGCGGTCCATTGGGGAGCTCTACAGAACTCCCTTTAGCATCTATGTGACTGTGGCTGTCATATTCAATCTGCCTTCAGTTTACTATGGAATGATGCAACTCACTGACTTGGATTGCAAGGGCTCCCAATGGCTGTGTGTCAATGCAATACTGTGCCTTTTAAACGCCGCTGCAGCATTCTACATGGCTGTGGCCGTGACACGTGATGAACCATTATACTCCTCGGAACAGATACCAATGGTAGCAGCCAGAGAACGACCCAGTTCGTTATTTGGCAGAGCAGGACACATGTTCTGTTATGATCCGTGGATTGCTGCCTACATTCTTGTCCTGATCGCTTTCTTGGTGTGGTTGTGGATGGGGGTCATTTGGACTTTGGATGGCAGAGCAGCTGAAGGATGTAATGGCGACACTGTTGGGGGCACCATTGCACTTACCCTCGGACTTGGCTGGGCCTTTTTCGTGTTTGGTATTGGGGCACTTTTGATTGGCATGTGCTGGGCCTACTGCAACGACTACAGTACGCCTCCCGAACCGGTTGTGCCATCGTCTACGGCTCCATCGTATGGTGCTACAACAGGTACCGTCCCAGTCACCGCTACCGCGACGCCCCTTGTCGGTGCACAAACTGGTATTGCAACAGCTACGGCTACCCCTATTGCCAAGAAGGAGTAAATCATCGAAACCATCATGAATCCGATTGTATCATTCAACAATTATCATCATCTTTCATTTCCTGGACTACCCAAAATGATCTTATCAAACGTCCTGGGTACCTCTCTGCACGACTACATGTACGTGTAGATTAAGTTGAGTTGGAAGTGGAATCCCATGTATCAATGCCAAGCATGCCAAGTATCCGCAAGGGCAAACATGCAGCTGCCTAGATGTCTTCCAATACTGTAATCTACAATGGCATCAATGTATTTCTGAGAGAAAACTATCAGTCGTCGTTAGCAGTGACTTGGATACTGTAGACAGTTTCGTCTTCCATGTAGAGAACGTAGATGAGCTGTCCTCCAAGATCTATAGCGCCCTCCGTTTCCGGAAGAAGGTTGATTTCTTCTTTATTTTGTGCAATGATCTCTTGTCCATACGACATGGCTTTTGCCATGCCCTCAGCGCTCAACTGTCTGTGTTCAGGCCCGTCAAGCTTGCGCACCACTGTGTCTCCTTTCAGGTTACGCCGGTCTCGTCTGTTGCAGAGACAGCTAGGATCCATATCACTGGAATCAAACCCCTGCGCATGGCTGTAATCCACAGTGTACCCCATGTCCTCTAGCCCGGCGATTGTGAGCCTAGTGATTGGAAGCTCTGCATCGGCTACAGAAGTCATAACTTCATTGAGGAAACAGCTTTCGGCCCAGTGAACACAGTTCGAGCCACCGTTGGAATGCCCTTGTTCCAGCGGAATGGCGGTGTTGCAACCACTGAGAGCTTGATATTCCCTCGAGGCTGCAGAGTCAGACTTGTAGGTGCAGGGCGCTGCGTTGCTGGTGGCAAGCCCATTGATGGTCCACAACGCACCAATACCTAGCTGAAAGAAAATAATGGTCAACGCGCCAACAAGTTAGCTGATTCCGTCCATCATACTACAATACATCAACTCACAACCAATATAGCACAGAAATACTCACCACGTGGGCCATTTCGTGCAACTTCAGGAGAGGAGAGAAGGACCATAAAAAAGGTTTGAGAAGGATGGTCTCGATAGCTTGAAATTTCTAAAAAGTCGCAGTTCGCACTTACAATGACGCCAAACAAATCTTGGATCGTATTTTCTACGTCGACTGTCTCAAAACTCATCGTGCCTGTAAGGGGTAGCCCTTCAGATGGTCTATAGTGTCTTGGACCAGCAGAGCCCAATATACCGCTCTGTCCGTCAATGTACTTGTATTCCCCGCATATGTATATATCGTCAATGGAGGATGGCCACGGTCCACAGGCACTGCTGCCACCCAAGTTCCCTGTGAAATTGGTTGTGTCGCCAATCTAGCAAGTTTTTAGTTTGGTACGCCCAGGTACTACTGTTTGCCAACTCCACTCAAGTAGAATAGCTAGCTTCGTTGCAAGATACAGACTTACAATCACTTTGCTCCACTTGTCAACCGCATTTCGAAACACGGTGTCGTCGGGAACGTTCAAGAGATCCAAAGCAATCGCAAAATTGGACACTTCATCGTCATCGGAGCAATCGAAGAGGGACGTCGCTGTGTACCAAAGGCTCTGGACAAACTGTCTTGCTCCAGATAATCCTGTTTGAGTGCGTCTTCTCGTGGTGACGGGCCCCTCTATTGCACCTGTCCATTCAGCCGTCAAAACCAGCCAGGAAAGAGCCAACAAACTTGAGTTCATGGTTGTTCTCAGAAAACCACGAAGCAAAGGTGAGCGATCTTTTGGCTGGCCTTCCTCGTGTACAATGACACTGATCTTTGGGTGGCTTGTGCCATCTTTGCATTTACTGTCTCATTCTCACGGATCCAGCGAGAGCCGTTTCATTCGTTGGTTCGCGGGTAAAAAAGTGCAAGGACGGACATGGCAACTAAAATGTACATTTTAATACCGTAGGAAAGAGTGCTTACCACTGCACCTGGTATGGTGCCACTTTTTAAGAAACGGTTACACTTGGCTGCCTGATGGACTCCCATCTTTCATTAATTCCAATCGCTCTACTACGGCAGCTAGCTAGCAACTTCGATGCATAGCAATACCTGTGTTTTATAAGGTTAACGATTTCTTAACAACTACTTTGGTCCTGTACTGAAGCACTGTGAACATATACCCAACTCATTGCTCCATACTTGTACCGGTACCAGTAGCACTACCCGCAGCAGACATTTCAGCGACACGGACCGCAGCAGACACATGAGCGGCACTGAGCCTCATACCGGTGGACGAACCTTCGAATTCCGTTCGTCCAATAGCCTTGAGTTTTTCAACTCGCTCTGGTGTCAACTTGCCCGCGATGAACTGGCGACGCTGGAAAGCCAACCATCGTCCCAACTTGCCTTTGTCACCATCTGGCTTTGGCACGGAGCACCCTGCGCCAAAAGCAAACTGGTACTCTTCGAGTTCCTTCAACATGTCTTCGAACGTCTTACGCTTGCCAAGAGTTCGCTGTTTCTTGTTGGGATGTTCAGTGCCATCTTCTTCGGTGAAGGAATCCATCGACGGGGTTGGAGAAGGTGTAGCAGTTCGTGCCGGCGCATCACGCTTCTTGGTTACAGGCGACTTGGGCTCTTTCGCAGCGGCATTTGGCTGCCCAGCTTCGATAGGTTCGAATCCATCGCATCCCAAAGTTCGGAGTTCAGCCGCTCGATCTTCCTTGAATTGCCCTGCTCGGTATCGAGAGCGGGCAGACGCCAACCAACGAGCCAAAAGCTCCTCGTGCTTATCCTCGGATCCCAATCGAGCCTTGCAGTGGCCATGCTTTTCCTTGTAAGCCTTGATATGCTCAAGTCGAGTTTCGAACGAGTGGCGAACGCGCTTTTCCTTCGTGTTGGGAGATGCTGGCGCCGAGTTGGTGGGAGTTGTGCTAGCCGATGTAGCCTGATCCAACATTGCGGGCGCACGGACGGTGGGCACTCCTTCTTCTTCGTCGTCTTCATCCATGTCGTCTGAGGGCTTCACCTTCTTCATTTTACTACGAATCGCAGCATCAAACTCTGCCTCTTCGGGGTCCTTTCGGTAAATCGACTGGTTGGGTGAATCACCTTCGGCGTCCATGGGTCCAAAATCAGCGCATCCCAAGCTACGGAGACGCTTGACTTTGTCTTCTGGGAGTTGTCCCAACTTGTGTCGGCTTCGCTGGCTGGCCAACCACTTGCCCAACAATCCGAAGGGACTGCTACCAATCATCTTCACGTCACAATGGCCAAATCGTTCCTTGAATGCTTCCAGTTCTAGAAAGCTCTGATCCCAACTCTTGGGCATTGCTCTCTTGATGTTCTTGCCCCCGCTAGTCGGACTGTTGGTAAGGGAGCCAACTGCGTCGGCGTCTTCGCCAACAAATGCCAGTTCCGTCGGCACGGCATCATCCGTCACGGCAGTAGCAGCCGAGTTGCGTCGGCTGCTGTGATTACTGCCGGTGGAAGCACCGTCGTCCTTTGGTCGTGCAGCAGGAGGAGCCGGTGCTTTCTTTGCCGCTTTGGCACGTTGAGCAGCGGCTGCTGCAGCCGCCTCATTATCTTCCATGGTCCATTCCTGCATGGCCAAAAACTCCTTGACATGATGCTGTGGCAAGAGTCCGTCGCGCATATTGCAGCGAACACGGGACAACCATCGTCCCAATTCCTTGTGTTCTCCCCGTGTCTGAACTTTGGTATGCCCGTACGTCAAGAAAAAGTTCCACATTTGCTGCATGCGCTGATCCCATGACTTTCGTGTCTTGCCTTTTCCTCCGTTGTTGTTACCGGTTCCCGTGGTGATCCTGTTTCGTTGTTTGCGAGGTTTCTTGGCCGGTTTAGCGGCGGTTTCTTCTTTAGCGCGACTCATGCCAGAAGCAGTAGCAGCCACGTCAACGTTCAAGTTGCTGTTACTGGACTCTCCAGCAGCGCCCAAAGCGCTTCCGCTGGCATCGGACGAACGTCGCATCTCTGCAGTGGCACTTCTCTGCTGTTCTTGTTGCTGCAGGAGCTGAGCTTGCAACAAGGCATTGACTCGTGGGTCTGGATGCTGGCGATGATACATGGCTCCCAAGAATGGATCCGCCCGCGGGGGGACGGATTCCAGAGGCTGGAGCAAGGACATGACACGTCCCTGCTGCATCAAGGTAGCATTGTGCATTCCAAATCCTCCTCCCATGCGGTTCGCCGCCATGACAGCCGCCAATCGTTGTTCTCGCATAATGGCTTCCCGTGCCATGGCTTCTCGAGCATACATTTCTTCCAAGACGCGAGCTTCCTGTTGGGCTTGCATCGACTTTTTCTTTTGCTGTTTCTTCTGCATGTCATTGAGCGAGGAGGAGCTGTCTTTCTTCTTGGGCGCCTTCTCAGCGGGATACTCATCGGCATCCGCGCTTGTGGTACCATCCGGGTCCATGCCACTTCGCTTGGTTGTTCCGCTTCCGCTTGCACTAGCGGGGGGCCTTGCAGCCGCCATTGCCGGTGCCATGGGGATCATCCCAGCCGCCTGCATTTGCTGGACCTTGAGAGCTTCTTCCTTTCTCTTGAGCCAGAGCGCTCGCAAAGCTGGATGCTGGCCTGCTTCCGCCTGTTCCATGAGACGCTGTTCATGAGCGCGTCCCATGATAGTACGCTCTTGTTGCATCATTCGTTCTCGCATCATGTGGGCTTCCATCTGGCGTGCTTGTTGTTCCTCCTTGTGACGAGCTTCGAGTCGTTTCTCTCCCTTGACGTCTTCCTTCGCTTCTTCATTTTCTTCTTCTTCTTGTTTCTTGGCAACAGGCTGCTTCTCGAATCCCTCACATCCCAAGTTGCGCAGTGCCATGGCCTTTTCCTCCGAGAGTTGCCCGGTGCGGTACTGCTTGCGACATTCAAAGAGCCACGTCCAGAGACCCTGTTCCCATGCTTCCTTGATGTTTGGATTCTCCAGATTCATCATGGCCCCGTGTCGTTCCTTGTATTCCTTGAGTTCTTCGAGTCGGACCACAAAGGTCTTTTTCTTCTTGATAGCGGTGGTGGTGGTGACCTTCTTGAGCGAGGACGTTGGAGAGGAGGAGGCCATTTCCAGTAGAGCTGACGTAGCATTGCACGTGTTGGTGGAGATGCGTCGTTGGAGGCGAGAAGGATGAGGCATGTCGGGTAATGACGGCTTGGTGTTAGTAGTAGCTGTGGCGGTCGTAGCAGTATCAGTCGCTTGTTCTTGATGTTTTGCCGCTTCTGCAAGAAACGCCAAGGGAGTCGTACTGGTCTTGCTGGGCTTCTTGTCACTTTTTGTTACTGTGGATGGGCTCTTGCTTTTGCCCTCGTCGGCGGAGTCATCATTGTCGGCGTCTTCGAATTGTCCGGCCACAGCCAAAGCACTCTTGGCCATGGTCGGGCTTTCTTTGTTAGACTTCTCTTCTGCTTCCTCTGAAGGTGGTGCGGAAGCGGAAGCATTGGGATTGGCTTCCGGTGGTGACGGTGCAGTTATGGATGTTGGTTCGAGCATGTTTGAGCAGCAATGCAATCGTATCAAGCAAATGCAGACGACAGGAGATGGAGATAGATGTGCAGACGATATCTATAGCACACAGGAGATTGAACTGTACCGGTGTTGGTGGATGTTGTTGTGGTTGTGGACGATGTTGTCGATGAAAGTTATACCACTGTGGGTGTGTTTTGGGAGCAAAAGTGGCTTCTCACGGCAAATCTGAATCATGTGGTCGGTTTTCAAGGTGACCTTTCGTGTGTGTGGTACAATGCAAAGGTAATGGTACCTTGGTACCTTGTATGTAGACGTGAACGTGTGGAGGATTGGACTTCGCTACCGGTACGTTGGTTGCCATCACAGTTTCTTGTACCAGTTACGTACTCTATTTCTGATACTGGCTGGCGAAGATCTGGCTTGGGAACTCTTATGTATTGAACTTCCGTACCAGTACTGGATTACTCAAGAAGCATTGGGATTCAGTTCGATGCCTTCATCCAGCACTGGTACCACTGGTGCTGGTACCACAGTACAGCAATCGTACCAATTTGACGGGCGAGTCACATAAAATGTACCGGTACCTGGTGCGTACTCCGTACCAAAGTACTGCTACCAAACGTTGGATTTTCTGTGCGTGGCCGGCCGGCGCACGAGGATGATCAGGGCCTCTCGGTAAAATGATTGGAGCGGACCTGCCGGTACTGTACCGTACCCATTCAGTAGTCAAGAGTAAAAGCTTTACGGTCCGTACATGTACCGGTAGCATTGTTTGTTTACTCAATGGTCCAACATTCAACGCCAGGAAAAATTACAGGCTTAAATATTCTCCGAGGTCGTATCGTGCTGCGGCAAAAATTTCTCCACCGTTCCGGTGCGGAACCAGGTTAGTGGAACCTTCCCTTTGAATGATCACACGAGTAAGAACTTGCAAAACTGCCCCGATCTCAGTCGATCATTCAAACACAGTTTTCAAGAGAGAAATCACTTGGATTTAATGGTATCCATTGCTTCGCATAATTCCAAGTGTTTTTTTTTCGGAAGTGGATTTAAGGGTATCCATTGCTTCGCATAATTCCAAGTGGTAAGTTGCGGAAGTGAATGAAAACTAAAAACTACCTGGTACCAGTACCGGAGTACTTGTACTGGTACTCGTCTGTACTGTACTCAGTTGTTAGTTACTTATGTGGGCTTATGACATAATAGCTGGAACGGTACCGACGGTACCGTACCTTTGGTAAAGTGGTGTCATGTAGAAAAAAAATTCATGATTTTTCATTTTGGATGTTTAGATCAATAAATTAGAAAAAAGGTGAAAAACTCAAAATTGATTTGCCCCACCATATTTCGGGTAGTTATACCCTGTCAAGCTACCCACCTAGCAATATGGGTGTTCTAGAAATCCTATTATCTTCAAGATAATAGACAGTTCTGACTTCTCCTAAAAGAGTAGATATCATTCCCAACAAAATTTTTCGAAAAAGGTCAAGTTTTGGTTGAGATACGGGCCTTTAGATATGTCGACTTGGGACAGCAAGCACCCTCCTCAAAAGGGGGGACCAATTTGCGGTCCAGGAAGTGACCAACAATCAAGAAATGAGGGTCTATGGGACTCACTTATACTATAAGGCATGCCCACAGACCCAAAATTTTATGATTTTATCACCTCTTTGTTAAGAAAAATGGTCCCCCAATTTACATTCCAACACAAAAGCAACGGTACGGTACCGTTTCCACTTACGGTACCAGATATGTACCAGTAGAAGAGAAGGATCTAACTAACCACCACCACGCACATGGTTGAAATTTCAGCTCACACACCTGAATGTTAATGCTATTGGAATCGAATCGTCACTCGGAGAGGTTCCATCCAAGGTGCGCACCACCAGTCTACCGGTAGCCACATGTATTTACTCCGAAGTACCATAGGCCTTGTTGTTTTTGGCGGCCGCACTCTCAATCAATCAATGCGTCACCGGCCACTGAAAATTCCATCGGTGCCATTAAAATTGATTGCCAGGTGTCGCCGGGGTTCCTGGACATCATCAACGATGGAGAGGCTACCAGTACTAGAAGTACTCGAGTAAGAGCTTGACAGTCTTTGGCGGCTCCAGGTGTAGGCAGACAGGGAAACATTCCAAGAATCTACTTGTATGTGTTGCCCGCCTAGTAAAGAACCACCAACTGGTCAATCTCTATTGTTTTATAGCAACTGGCTAGAGTTGTTACCAGTATCGACTGCAATCAAAAGGCCACATTTGACTGGACTCGACTCCCGCAACTTCGAGTGATGTGTTCTTGACAAGGGCCTACGTAATTGCCACGCAATTGTCGCATGCTTCTGTTCCGGTCATTTTACGAATTGTACCGGTAACAAACTGACAACGGTACATGTACCTTTTTGCGGAAGTGTGTCAGTACTGTACCGCGGAACGTGCCATTGCCGTGCCTGCGCTACTTCAACCAAAGTGGTACTGGTACAGTACGGTACGGTGATCCTGCGGACTGCGTCAATGGTGCCGGCAGCAGACCAAAATGTTGATGTGAAAACTTCACAGCTCCGGTCTCCTTGGACCTGGGACCATGATGTCTTGCGTGTTTCTCTGAATAGAACAGTCACTAGCTAGCTAGAGTCTCTCGGGACAGCAAGAAACTGGACCCACCGAAAGGAAAAACATTGGAATCGATCAACTAGTGAAGGGGAAAGAATCACATGCTCCCAGTTTAGACACCAGGCTGCCAAGCAGTTACATTGTAATAGTTCAGCAGCTCAGCCTTCCACTGGTTCTCTTGAAGCAGTTTTCGTCGGAAACCTGTACCAGGTACTACCCATTGCTGCCTCCGTGTAGTTACACGCGATCAAAGATTAACTGGGAAAAATTCTAGTAGGTCTATTTCCAAGAACATCGCCTAACGACTGGGAAGTTTGGGCTTCAGCCCTGGATCCTTGCTGCAGTAGTACTGGTACATCCTTGGGAGCCCATCCATCATTATGAGCGATCCCTGCGATGCTGCTTGCTGCTTGCTGGCTTGCCACAATCGGATCCGGAAGCCGCAACGCCGCAACCCACAACCCGAATTTGCCATCCAGCAGCGATTTATCTAAACTGGTACCGGTACCAGTTGCAAGGCTTCCTGTTCTGTTGGATTCGGATAGCTGCTGTTTGGATCTTACCTTCCCGCAGAAGCAGGACCCAATGCAGCTTCCCCGCGCTCTAGCTAGCTACCTGGTACCGGTAGCTATCAGCGTTCCCATTGCCACCATGGCTTGGTGGAGTGCTGCTACATGTTCATGTTCATGTTCATGTATTTGTTTTTGTTTTTGTTTTACACAGATGGTACTATTTGCTGTTGCAGCGGAACAGATACAGCTGTACATGCACCCCCATAATAGCTATGCATACCGGTAGCTAGCTAGCACTTGGATCGCTCTGCTGTTGGGGCTGCGGTGGTGAGAGTACCGACACTAGTGTACCGGTGGGCTTCGGATTTCCAAGATCCGAACAGGCTTGCCGACAGCTGTGGTTCCGGTGCATGTATGTTACTGGCTGGCTAGTTGACTACAACCAGTAGATACTTGTAGCTAGCTAGCAGAGAAAAGTATGGTACAAGTAAGTTGCGCAAAAGCACCCTTCCTGCCTGCTAGCCAGCTGCCGTAGCACACTGCCGTACCGGTACGGTACCGCAAAGTGGGAGGTCAACGGTACTTGCGCGATGCAATTGACTCCTCCCTGGCATTGGGCTTTGGGCTGAGAGGCTGGTAACCTGGAAACCATGGCCGATGGCACGAGAGAAATGAGCTTTAGGCAGGTGTACCGGCCACGACGTCTGAAGCTGGCCGCTGGAAGCCTTGCGTCCACAAAACTGTCCACATCAATTTTAAAACCAGGAAGGTCGCAGCAAGAAGGGATCGCGCGACAAAAGTGTAGATCTAAAAAAAGATTGATGCGCTGGTAGGTGCGCTGATGCTCCTTGGCTGGCTGAAAGACAACGCTTGAGGGCTTGAGGGTCGTACTCGAGTACCGGTACTTGATACGCAGTGATGCACGCCTCGACGATGCCGCGGCAAAGGAGGCAAGTGCGGATGCGGTCTGCAGTCTGCATTCGTTTACTTTCGCAGATTCGATTGATAATTCGATTTATCATTCGTGTGATTGAATCAAATCGATTCGATTCGATTCTTGTTCTTCTGCACCCAGTTGGCGCCGGCACCATGAGCTAGGTTCCTCTCCCGCGGCATCCAGCGTAAGATTTGTTGATCAGGACGATGGTCAATCGTGCTCTGTCCCAGTCTATTGATCGGCTATCATTCAAGCCTCAGCCAAGCCAGTTTTGCTGGCCGGGAAGAAGGAGAGGCATTTGACATGAGCGAAACGAGAGACATAGTAGACATGAGGAATGATGAATCGAATCGAGCGAATCTGAACTGTGTCGTTATGTTTGTATGGGAACAAGGCAGTGCCATTCTTCTGGCTTGCCCTACATGTAGTGCGCTTACTGTTTCTTGGCAGCACATTTTTGGTGATCAAAGCAAAGAAGCAGCTAGTTCCATTATGGAAGCAAGACGTCCAGCATTGTCAAGTGTGACAGTCCCAACCCTTTTCCAGCCGTATGGCGCTACCGGTACGGAATGCATCGTGAGCGAAGACGTATGCGAGTTGCAAGAAGCAATGATTTGGGAAACGACGGCGTCTTCTACTACATGTAGTAGTAGGACGTGTTCACTCTTCGATCTCCTACGGTACTAATATGAATTCAGGCTTTTTGAAAAGTGAGCAAGGGATTTCGCTAGCTAGCTAGCTGGGGGTAAGTACTCTATTCCCTGACTTTTACAGTTTTGTTTCCGAAGAGGCAGTTCTGGCGCGGCCCAGAAGCCGCCCACTGCACCCAACACCCAACCTGTGAAGCTGGCTGTTGGCTGGCATTACAAGGCGTAGGCTGTGCCTTGCTCCTCTACATGTACATCGTCCTGGCTCTTGATGTCAGCCACTGTACCGGTACAGCTCAAACAACCCCCAGAGCCGCTGCCTGGAACTGGCTAGAAGCAAGACTTGAGGCGACTCGACTCTCTGAGATGAGGCGGTAAGCTAGGCCGTGTCGGCACGTATTCATTTGTTACCCTCTCAGGAGCGTCCCTCAATCGTGGGTGAGTTTTAAATCCGACCCAAATCCGACCCTAAATCTTTGAAACCCGACCCTAATTCCATGTAGCAATAGGGTCGGTTTTGAAACCAGCCCCTAAATCGAAACCCGTCCCTAAATTAGGGACGTTTTTTCAGAATCCGTCCCTAATTTTAGGGTCGGTTTCGAAACCCGACCCTATTTTAGGGTCGGATTTCAATGTATTTACCACTCAGTCCCGCTTCCATTTAGGGACGGTTTTCAAACCCGCCCCTAAATCGAAACCCGTCCCATAATTAGGGACGTTTTTTCAGAATCCGTCCCTAATTTTAGGGTCGGTTTCGAAACCCGACCCTAAAGGGGAATCCGTCCCTAAATCCGACCCAAAATTAGGGTCGGTTTTCGATATAAGTCATGCACGATTGAGGAACGCTCCAGATCTCAAAGTAGTGCAACCCACAAACCTGCTTGGCTTCGCTACTTTGCTGTCGCCACCGCAGCTACCGATACACGGTACCATGCCTGCATAGCAGCCTTCCAGGATGATGGCCTGAGAGTGACCGCGTTGGTTTTATTACTACGGTAGCTAGAATGAAGCAGTTCCATGTTTACATGTACTGTAAACTCATCTCGGAATGGAATCCAGAGAACTGAATGGTTTTTTCAGCTTGTACCATTGTTGCTGATACAAGAGATGTGCACCGGTAGCATATCTCTAACTCTAATTGACGTAGTTAGGTTTGACAGGTGGTCACGGACACTGGCTTACACGTGCAAGCAGCTGCTGATACGGTACTCACGTAATTATGGTTCTTCTTTGACTGCTTTTTGGTACAAACCTGCTTCTGCCAGTTCGGTTGCTCGTCAAAACATCCATCTCATCCACTTAGATCCATAGAACAAAGGAGATAGAATGGGGCAAGAGCAGAAGTCTTGTGCAGGCTTCTGGCGTACAATTCAATTAATATATCTATGACTGCATGGACATTTATACTTTCGGACCGAGAACGGAGACATTTTTCGGACAAAATTTCAAACACTTACTATAAAGCATTTGTACAATACTGTCAACAATATGGCTCACTTGCCCCTTTCTTGGCGTACCAGCTCACCATACAATGCAATGTTTTTAACTTAGAGCAGAAGGGGGCAGTTTCCGTGGAGTTATATCAAAGCCTATCTTTTTTTACAGTCTTTTACAGTACTGTTCCGTCGACAATTGACCAGGTTTTTACCAACTACTCTAATTACTGGATATCAAGTGAGTACATGTACTGTAGTACTGTAGATGTCAGTAGTCAAACTTTCACTTGAAGCTGTTCGATTTACCGTAAAGTTCTGTACCACCGACCACGTGTGATGTGCGTGTTTGCCAGGTAGGGCACCCATTGTCAAATACCTGAATTAGGTTTTTGCTTCACTTAAACATCGACACAGAATCACAAAATCGGCTCCGTCAATACTAGTAGACCATCCACCATCCGGACTCGGCTGAGACTCGCTGCCTGAGGTGCATTCCTATCCGCGAACATGTGGTTCGTACGTACGCCGAGAACCAAAAGAGAACCACATTTATTTTCATTTAGTAATCGCGTATGTGGCTTCATTCTTAACCATTCGCAGATACGTCGTACGCGAAGCCACATACAATACCCGAATTGGTTTAAGTAAGCAGGGCTGGGATTGCACTACTGATACCGGTGTACCACGAAGTGATAGCCAGCTAGCTAGCTACTGTAGCTAGCTAGCTAGCTAGCTAACTAGCTAGCTAGCTACCAACAGACCCACCACCACAAACAAGAAGGCTAACAGGCATACAATGGTATTAACTTGTACCTGCTTGTTAACCTTCTTGGTTGTCGAGATCGGTCTGTTGGTAGCTAGCTAGCTACCGTAGCGGTGAGATAATGAGATAATGATTTTCGAAACTCACTAGAGTTGGGGATTTGTGGCCGTTTCGAAACTCGCTAGAGTTGGGGATTCGCTCGAGCATTTTGATTGGCCCTACGCGAATTCCAAATCCATTCATCCTGCGAACCGCAGCTCCACTTTTTTACTATAAACATTTCCTGCGGTTCGCCGTATCTGTGGATTTGGAGGTCACCTTTCCGAATTCGGCAGTTATTTCGAATTCTTTCTATTTCGCGTACGTACGTACCGTAAATTCTGTGGTTAGGAACAAACCTCAGTACTTTGCTTGTGATCTCAGTTTCATGTACCGGTACCATGGTGCCTTCTTGCTTGGCCTTGAGCACTGTTTGTCTGTTTGAAAGTTTTTTTTTCAGTGACTATTATTACCGAACGACTTGGTTATGCAATACATGTAAAGCACCAAGGCAACAGCCACTTGAAGCACGAACACAAGTCTCTAGCTAGAGCGAGCTAGACTGGGACGAAAGAACTTCTTGTAGGCGCTATAATAATATGAAGGCAACAAAGAAGCCTGCCTCCGTGAAGTCACTCACACTCAACAGTCCCTCGTCAGCTCAACATCCATGTACCGTAGCTGTCCAAGCTCGACTGGAAGAGAGCACTGGAACTCTGTTCAAGCTCGCTTCCACCAGGTTATTGGCTGGGGCCCCCACAAAATCAATTGGAACTTACTGGAGTAACATCTTGAGGTCCATCAAAGCTCTTTGTTGATGTTTACTTTGATGTAGCCAAGAGAAAGCTCGGGTACGTGTACTTCCAGTCTTTCTACTTCATTTATCAGCATCTAGCTAGATAAAGCACCTGGTCACAGTTTGATCATTTATTTGGGCGGCCCAACTAAGTTTGATTCCTGCTCATGGTCCCATTGCACCCGTCGTTTGTACGAGTTCTTGTGACATTTTGGTGGTAATATCGGTTTAACGTTTCGTCCAGGCTGCTGTGCAGGAAAGCTCAGGATAGCTCAGGATTCTGCTCTGTGAGCTCTTCTGCTCCAAGTGAATGAGAAACCATTCACAGCACAACCACCACTGTGTTGCAAACAGTAGGCTGCGCTGCCGTGTATGCAGTTTCAGCCAGCTTTCAGCCCCACCTCAAAAGCGCAGAGGCAGCAAGCAAGACGAAGCCGAGCGGAATGATTGTTGCAAGTCAATCACCAGCGTCGTCATCTATCTATCAATAAGCGAAGTGCCTTGTGTAGTTGGTGATAGTGAAGGCATCGTCTTTCCTTGTCATTCAGCGTTTTGCAGCCCTTGTGCAGTTTTCTTGTATTTGCAGAGCCTGAGGCGACAACAGCCCATTTTGTTCATAACCCGTTCGCCCAATTCATAAAAAATTTCAACACCAACAGCCGAAGAAAGCATAACACAGCCCACCATGGAATCAGCATCATCAACAGTAGTCAACGATCCGCAACAGGCCGTCAAGTCGAGTTCCAACACGGCTCCCACCTGTGTGCAATCGTCCGAGGAATTCTCCATATCGGCCGAACTGACAAACGCATCGGTCGAGGATGGTCCCGCCCTTCAACTGTCCAACATGGCCATTGTAGACGAACGCAAAGCCGTGGAAGAACCATCCATGAGTTTTGACGATGACCCCACGCCGAGCAGCAAAGTGCGGTTTGCCGCGGAAATCACCGTCATCAAGGAAGAAGACATCGCCGTGGAACGCCCGAAGAAAAAGAAGAACAAAAAGAATAAACGACGAGCCAGTACCGGAGGCGTGGGTGGCTTTGCGGGTGCATCGGACGACGACAGCGACTATGAGCCTACAGCGGACGATATTTGGTGGAGTCAACAGGATCTAGAGTCTGTCGAATTGAATGCCATGTATATGGTCAAGGAGAGTCAACAGTACCAGGAAGAAGTCATTTGCACAGTCCTCTACAACAAGGCATTCCTGTCCGCGACCAATCTCGCCAAGAGCATTACCGAAGAGGAAGTCGACGAACGAATGAAAGACGTCCATGACCATTCCAACACACTCGAAAAGTGGACCGATGTAGGCAACTCACGTCGTGGATTGGAAAACATGATTTCCGAAAAGGTCGTCGAAAACGCCGTGGCGTCGCGCTGTGCAGTCTTGTTATTGCAACGGGAACTTCGCGAAGCAGCTTCTCTTACTGCCGAGTCTCTTGCCAAGTGCAGTCAAGATGCGACTCGTAACGCTCGCATCATGGCGCGCATGATGGGACAAGCCGATGCCGATGCGTTGGCCAAAGCCAATGCACAGGCCGCCGAATCCATTCGTCTCCCAGAACCACCGGGCCGATACTCGGGAGACCACGAACGCACCAGTGAAGATGGAGAACAACCGGTCAGTGGTCGAGCGGCTCGTCGCAGTAAGCGAGGATCGATTATTGCGCCATTGAAAAAGGCAGTGGGCAACGTCTTTCGAAGACAGGGATCCAGGGAGGTCAACATGAGGCGAATAAGAAAAATCCAAGAAAAGAGAATGAAGGAAGAACAAGAGCAAGAGCAACCCAAGAGACCATCCGAGGAATTCCGACGGTCCTTTCTGGATTCACTAGACTACGGCGAGCAATAGATAGGTGAACGCACCGAATCAATTGAATCATTATAAAGAATTAGTTATACTACAATCAAGCAAGCTGTCAAAGTCAGCGTCTATTGCTTGTTTCCCGCCCTCGATGGCGGACTACCGGGTACAGCAATACAGAATACATACTTACTCGAAGCAGACCAGAAACAGAGTCTCCCAGTTCAACCCCTCGCTCGCCACAGCAAAAAATTTGACGTTATGGTGCCTGTGCTGGCTTGGATGTACCAGTACATGGTACATGTACCGATGTCCCCAACTGGATCACAAGAATCCACAGTTTGGGAACTAGCTACCAAGTAAAGTAGGGTATCGGTAGGGTAAATACTGACCATCACTTACTTGCTTGAGTGCGCTGGAGGAATTTTCGCGGATTAGCTAGATCTACATCACCGGTGTGGTGTTCTTGCTTGGTTTGATTCATCGCTCCTCGCTTTTCAAGCAAGAAGGCCTCCGACCTAGTAGGCAAGGGTTGGAACTAGCTACAGGTAGGCTCTAGAGCCAGTGATGGGACTACTGGCTTGAGAGGCATGATGCTTACCATACATTCCTCACGCATGAACTACTAGCCAGCGAAGACGAGTCAATTGTGCAATCACCTTCACTCCCATGCATCTTGCTTGCCCCAGAGTGCACGGGAAGGAGCTAACTAGTAGACTTGTCTCCATCGAAGAGAAAGGATCCCCCGGTGGTTGGAGCAGCAATGGGGAGCTTCGGTTTTCCTAGGTTGCCGTGTCTGGCTGCCTGCATCCGTCGTTGAACATCCATGGATAGTTCTACTAAAAGCTCTGATATCCAATGCAGCCAAAATAGATATAGATCCTGATGCGTGGGGAAGAAGGGAACTCAGAGTTGGAAGACGACAAGGGGAGCAGAATACATCATGCCATTGGCAGGAACGTTCGTACCATTTTCGAGCGAGACCACAAAACTTAGACAAAACTATAAAGTCAACTTCCTGGATTGCGATCACTCTTTCGTCGGTACTGGCAGCCAAAGGGCTACTACCGCCCTTTCCTTCGTCCGCGTCTTTTGACTCTTCTTCTCTAGCCAGCTAGAACTTCTGTTCGTCATTTGGCATGGTTGAGACCTCTGCACTGGTCAATAGCACGAAGATCCAGGGAAGATACACATGTGCGCTTACATTGTACTTCCTCCAGGAACCGTACATTCAGTACTCTCGTTGGCTGACAGTACTAGTACTTGCATCAAAACTGGTTGTGGTGATGTGCCGTACGAATACTGCATCTACCGTACCTGATATGGTACGGTAGATAGCTGGCAACTGGTACCGGTGCCCATACCAGCCCATACTTGGTCGAACGTACGGTGTGGATTTCTAAAGGCAGGGCCAAAGGTATCATAGTACTGTAGCAATCAATCAATCATTCGGATGATAATACTATTTAAGTACGGTATTTAAAAAAAAATAGTCGTATTAATAATAGCATAGGTTTGCCCATTGCCCACACACAAACAAATTGTGAGCTTGGTTTCAAGGAAAGAACCGGTGAAACTAATAGATTTAATGTATACAAGGAGATTTAATAAGTGCACCTTAGCTGGTGGGTCATCTGTCGCATGGTTGATAAATAGAGTCTCTGAGGCGTGACGAAGAGCACTCGAGGCTCGCGACCGCATGACACGACTGTTGCCTGGTGGCTCCGCTGTCCTCGCTTCCACCCCGACCTCAAGATGATGAGCCCCTACAATTGAGCCAAAATTGGTGCTCTTCGCCCTCAAGTTGGTTTGTTTGCGTTCTTGTTGAATCCTACCATAGCCGAAGAGTTAAACTTGGGCATGCACTCTTTGGAAGACAACGCTGCCTTCCCTTAGCTTGCTACTAGAGTATTCGATACCTCTTTTCCATTGAACATATAAAAGAGCCAAGATGATGACAAACGACGATGATGAAGGCAATAACAACAACCCTTTTACCCCAGCGGCAGCTGCTCGACACCCTTCGAGAAGCCGCCCGTTGCCAGCCAATGATCCTGGCAGTGTTCCACTAGAAGTATCCGACGACATGGCCACTCTGGTGAGCTACGATTTGACAGCCGAACCAGGTGACTTTCACATGATCCTTCCTCCTTCCGGCTTGACGCGTCCCACTGTGTCGAATGGTACCGTGACGGGGATGCCTCCTCCTCCTCCCAACAACGCCCGAGTGGTCAGTCGAGATGGAGATGTACGCTTCAATCGACCTGGGCAAGTTGCCAATCGGACGGTCGCTCGAACGGGAGAACGAACCAAAAAGCACCACGCCAATAATAATATTAATCAAGAAGAAGAAGAAATTCTTGCACAACAACAAGGAGATGAACTCGCCACTCTGCCTCCTCCGCCTCCCGAAGAACGAGGCACTCGACGAGGACCCGAAGAGTCGTCTCCCAATGACACGAACGAAATGAGCAAATTGCCTCCCGATCGAACTCGCGATGGCCTTGCCAGCATGCCATTGCCACCGGCGTTGCCTCCTGGATTGCTCACGCCTAGCGGCAGAAATCCTCCTCCCATGCCTCGTTGGGACGAAGAAGAATACGACGATGAAGATTTAATGATTCAAGAGCAGCACATGAAAATGATGGATCAGAGTGACGTGGAACTGGAAGACGCCAAAATGAAGGCGGCGTCGGTCGCTCCATCCTCTGAAGACCATTCCACTAGTTCGTCGGCTGCTCGTTTTGACGGTGGAGCCGCAAATTCCGACTCTACCACCACACCCACGCGTCCCGGCGGGCGATATCAAACAGCGGGTAAATTGACGGCTCATCCCGGCGCCTTCTCGGTCGATGGTCCGAGCTCCACCACGGGAGCTTCCTCGGAATCGTCGCCACCGCCCATGTCACAGGCCGCCACAACGGCGGTTCGCAACACCAGTGATCAACAACAACCGGTCGTCGCTGGAGATGAACCATCCACTCTTTTGATTCGAGCGTCTCTGGTCAATGAACCAAGCATTCAACAGGTCGTAGAAGCGTCTCCGCTGGAACAGCCGCCGATTCCTTTGGAGGACTCTCCGTCACAACCTCCCGATGCCGTCGTGATTTCCCGCAAGACCGTATGGCTAGTCGGTATTAGTGCCTTTGTCATTATTGCGATTTTCGCGGTTGGACTGGGTTTTGCGCTCTCGGGAAATGGCTTTCGTGGTGGTAATAAGCAGGCCCAGCAGGGGCCACCTCCTGATTGGCCGAATAAGGACATGGAAAATTACAATAACACCATGGCACTTGGTACTACAACCTCGGGTGATGGTGTCACTTCTGCACCCGATGGCACTGCCTCTCCAACGACGGCAGCCAATCTGCCTTCCAGTGCACCGAGCATCGATAGCTTCAGCGAAGACGAGGTGTCGCTCAACAGTACTACTTCCACCACAACCAGCAGTGGTATCGTCTTTGCCGACACAATTGTTCCGGAAGCCGACAGTCAGCCTTCCAATGCACTGAGCACGGATAGTATAAGCGAAGAGGAGGTGTCCAACAGTACTACTACTTCCACCACAACCAGCAGTGGTGTTGTCTTTGCCGACACCATTGTTCCAAGTGTTGCGACGGCAGGTAAGTGTGTCGTGTCATCGATGTACATGTATATATTGTACATGAATTGATGTGGAAATTGTCTCTCTTTTTGGCGTTCCTGACCGCTTGCCTTTTTCGTTCATGATTTGCACCGCAGGATCGATGAATGTCTCCGATGCTGGCGAAGATCTCACCGACCCTAATCTGTCGTCCACGGCCGAGTCCGGCAACAACGACGAGGAAACCTCTGTGACAACGGATCCAGAATTCAATGCGACTGTCGGTCCCATGACTTCAGCGGCTCCCTCAGCAGACTCAACCAGTGGCGCAACGACGGCACTAACCATAGGGGAGGCTGCCACTGCCTCACCCAGTATACTACCATCCGTCACAACCAACACACCAACAATGCCGCCGATTACGACAACACCAAGTCCAACGAATGTACTCACATCGAGCCCAACTGCCAAGCCCACCTTTGCTCCTTCGACAGAAAGCCCAACCACCAATCCACCGACCACAGCTGCTCCAACCAATTCACCGACCCCAAGGCCCGTGTCCACCGCATCAGTTTCCATTAATGTCACCCTGTGGCCTACCAGCATGCCGTCGGATGTACCGAGTTTGCTACCTACAGAGAGCCCTACTCCGGAACCAACACCAAATCCTACTCCAAGACCTCCAACTAATGGAGGCGGCGGAGGCGGAAACAACAATGATGGCAACGGAGGCGGAGGCGGGGGTGACAATGACGGAGGTGGAAACAACGACAACGGTGGTGGAGGTGGCGGCGGAGGCAACGGCAACGGTGCAGCAGCTCTGGAAGACAACACTGATCATAATGGCGGTGAAGACAACGTTGAAAATGATGGGAACGGAGGAGGAGGAGGCGGCGGGGGGGACAGCAACAATGATGGTGGTGGAGGAGGCAATGGCGGAGGTGGTGGTGGCGGGGGCAATGACGGTGGAGGAGGAGGAGGAAATATGAGAAAGTTGAGAGAGAGACGGCTGTCCAGTCTTCAAGTCCTGTAATCATGCAAGCTGTGTTTCGATTGAACAGCAGTGACGGTGGAAGAGGACTCCAAGTGAAGGCAGAGTGGATGAGAAAGCATGATAGAGGTGTTTTATTATGGCGTTGCCAATGGTTTGTTATACGATACTATAGCAGCGTTCTCGTTGAAATATTGGCGTCGGCGCCCCAAGCTCTTTCCAGAATACCGTGGTGAGATTACATGGCAAAGCAGCCATAACGATGGTGTCTCCTCTCCTACTCGCATTGAAAAGTGATTAAACTTCCGCCTCTGAGGCCTTCACGGGCTTTGGCTCGTCGACTGAGTCGTCCAAAGCAACGTTCTCTTTGGGGTCTGAATTGGAAGTTGGAGTCAAGGCCTCCGTGGGCGATGCTGTGTTTGCTCCGTCACCATCCTCTTGGCTTTTTACTTCTCTCCATTCTCGAGCATTGGTTTTGGGCTCTGCTGGCATTCCACCTTCGACAGTTTGTTTTGCTGCCATACAGCACTCTTTGATACTCGAGGAGAGCATAAAGACACTGAACACAAATGCACCCCAGCAGCTGAAGTAGAGATTGCCAACTCGGTTACCTGGAGACTGCTCGCCAAAAGTTGTCAGTGATACTCCAACCGCCCAGGCAAGGAACATGGCCAAGGATGCTGATGCCTTGGCTGCGGCTGACAAGTTAAATTGAAAGGAAATTAGACAACCGAGTCCGCCCGCCAGTGTGCTGACTGCTCCCAATGTAATCGAGAACTTGAGACGGTTGCAATAGCTGGGCCCACGATCGCAGTCAAAATCTTCTCCGTCCAGGGTCACACCATTGACTAGAGTCTGAATCGACGATGACATGGCCACAAGACTGGCAATACAGAGCCCGGCCCAATATCCAACGCCGTTGGTTGGATTCGTTGCTGTCAGATCGGAGTGATTGGCATATCCGACAAGAAGCGCCACGGTTCCTGTCAGATTCGCCCAGCCAAAAAAGTACAGATTGGCATTGACGATGCGCCCTGCACCATCCAAAGCAAGCATGTTCTGTGTGTCCATCATCACAATCAAACCTCCAACCCAAAGACCCAGCTCAGTCAAGAGCTTCAAAGAGCGTGAGGTTGGAAGCTTGCATCACAACTGACTTATCCAGCGAAGGCAAATTCGACGTTATCTTACCAGAAGACCTTCCAGTGGCATTCCTACGAAGGCTGGATGGTTGACGTGGGCCACACACGCCACACCACTCACAAGGAGCGACAACACAGAGACCGACAGAATCCACTTCTCTTCCGCCTGCCACTGCTTGGTATCGGTTTCGGTCGTCAGAGCAATCAGTGTCACTGCAGAGAAGATCGTCAAAGCACACCACCAAGAGAATCGAGACACATATGTACCATTGGGGGTGTCTATCACGAAAGTGGGAGCCTCGTCGGAGATCTCATTTGGGGCTCCAGTTTTGCCATCATCGTTACCACGAGAAGCGGTATCAGGGTTGTTGATTTTGGGGTCTGCTTGGGCATCGTTCGTCATTTTGCTTTCAGGGTGCTGCAGAATCTTTGGTCAGGAGGTGGAACTAAACGATTTTATGGTATAATGGCTAGCTAGTGTTGCTATCTACATGTTCCGGTAGGTTACAAAAGACAAAGAGAAAAACAATGGAAGATGGAAAGAAGGTTCTTGCGTTATGTGGTAGTGTCACAATTAATAATTGAGTATGATATGAGTTCGGCAGACTGAACCCAAGAGAGGGTGCCAACGGTTGCAATCCAGTCTCACGAACGATTGTCACGCGCCCTGTGTATGATACAACCCGGCAGGCCCACAGCATGAGGAGATGAAGAAGCATCACTCTCTGATTGGGCTGGCGAAGGAAGCTTACTCTCGACGGCGAGACAAGTTTTAAGGTTCACGAGAAAGATTGCAACTAATCCGGACGACCCGACGATTATGCAAACAGGGAACCAAATAGACGACGGGACAAGTGAAGAGGAGTCTACTTGTCTTCTCCACCGCCGCAGAATGTTGGACTTTCAACCTACCAAACTTCGTGGAAAGGATCTTTCGTCAACAGCCAAAGTATGAAGAAAGGGGTACCATCACGACTGGAGTACTCAGACAGACGACATGGCTGGAATCTTGAGCGCGACCGATCTTGACGACTCGATGACCTAGGCATGAGATGGAAGAGAGCATAGTCATCATCATGAAGTATTTGCCAACATCAACCGAGAGAAATGGATCACATGTGCAACCGGGCATTCAACAAGGGTAGCAGGATCAGAGTGACCAAGCGACGGCAAAGAGACCACCAAACGACGGAGCTCTCCTTGCTCTTGGGGGGAGAAAAAGGAAATGTGAGGAGCAGGGACCAACACTTGTACTGCCTTAACCCAAATGCTATAGCCAGGCTCTGGACCCATGCACCCAAACAGAACAGATTACAAGAGCCACAGGAGGAGGCACACAGGCAAACGGCGTTGGACACACAGCGACCAGCATGACCACTAAAGGGAGAGAACTTGGATGGCGAGGCTAGCAGATTGGATTGGTGAGACTTTGAGCTAGTGAAAGTGACGTGACTGTTTGCTGGTCCCATTTCCCCGCGAATTGACGAGGGACCGGCGAGTCTTCTCCACGAGGACGAACCAACCAGCCTGGAACCGCCGCAAGATGACGCCGGACTAGCCCAGCCACACAGATGTCACGATAGGCAATGGGTTCTCACGCCATGCATCGGCCCTTCCGACTTGTATCAACCGGGATCATGTCCATCATCGTCATGCGTGTCTTCGAGAGGATGGAGCAGAAACGGAAGGTAACGGGCGTCACGTATGCTGGGATGACGACCAAACGGACCATGCAGCTCGAACCAGCGAAGAATCTAGTAGTATCAAGGCACGGAAGAGAGGTACTCAGCATGACCTGTTCGCAAAACCATAATGGGCTACCTTGGATCCAGATCGCGACCTTTCACTCTTAAATGCTATGAGAGAAAACGGAAATGTCTTCTCAACACAAATTAGACTACTCTTGGACGATTCTACAGAAATGCGAGCCGCACTTTCATTGTCTTCACACGTAGTGGCTTCGTCGATACGGTAGAATAGGGAGAACTGGTGATGGCAGAAGTCACATCGTTGGCACGCCGCCGCAATAAGGAGTTTCGCCGTGATACTTCGACATGCGACGCCGGTGCCTCTACATCGACTACAGGCTGAAGCATATCACTGGTCAAACAATGGGCAAACAGAAGAACGATACCTGGAATGCGAGATCTATATAATTCACACGAGACACCAGACAGTACCAACGTTACCTTTTCCGAAACCCAACGAAAGATCCCCACTTCCGCAAACCACAGGAGCAACTATTGTAGGAGTTAGTACCGGTAGTGTAGAATTACCGAGCACGAGCGAGGACGAACCGAAGGAAGAAAGAAGAGAGCCATCAGCATGAACTGTTCACAAACCTCAATTGGCTATTTTGGACGCAGACACAAGACCTTTGGCAACTCTTTTGTGAGCATGAGTGAGATCAACAAGCTTTGCAAACTCCTCGAGAATGTTGGTCCAAAGGAAGGTTGTTTCATTTTTGCGAAGCTTCTCCATAGCTTTTTGAAATCAAACAAACTTCTTGGCTTTGATTGGCTCCTCGAATTGAGTTACTCTTTCTTGTTTCCTTTTAGCGATAGCTTTTGAAATCAAACATAAAGAAACGTCGCCATGGTTAAGTTTGGAATTGGGCTCGTCATCGTCGTTTAGTCATTCGTTTCTCTTTTCTCTTTTGATTTGTTTTTCAAAATCAGAGTGAAAACGGTTGGTCGTGAAGGTGCGCGGTGGACGGTGGACATCAACTTCACGCACCCCAGTTGGCCTTGTGCCAGAGAGCCACCAAGCATTATACCGGTAGCAACCGGTCCTGTTCCAGATATCTTGCACATGCCATTGTAAGGAAAGAGGAGCTTTGGGCAGCGACAACATCCCTTTCGACATTCGAGCTTTCAAAGAGCCAAATCAAGTCACATTTTAGATAAGTGCGGAATGGAAAGAACAGAAAGAAGAACTAAAAGAATGTCTCTTTTTTAACACGTGTTAAGTCGCTTTCTTCCCGATTTGTGACTGCATGACTGCAGCTGTTCCTCGCTCACTTGCGACCCATTTCCTCGTCGCTTTTCAGCACCACTCTAATCTCTCTCATCTTGCCTGATGACTCAGCCAAGGAAGGAAGTCCATGGCAATGATGAAACACCATCGAAGGAAACGTATGATCGAACACAACAAAGGAACTGCATGGCAGTGGCTCTGTTAGCAAGTTGCTACTAATTCGATTCAGGTCTTGTGCTTCAGACTCCTACCGTAGCGACCGAAGCTACTTGGTTTGCTGCCATTGGAACAATGGTTTTCACGAGGTCGTCAGTCGCAGCTGAAAAGAAGCTCGAAGGGTGCGCTGCTACGCTAAAGGCAGCGCCCTCGTCAGCAGCCAAGAAGGCGACCAAGAAATCTCAGACCGCCAAAACGAGCAAACCAAAGAACAGTGTGGACCCGTCCGCCAGAAAAATATCGCCGGCTTCTCGAAAGAAGAAGGACAAGACAACCCCCGAGAAACGGATCTTTGCAACAGAGCTATGCAGAGATCTCCCCTTGCTTTCGTTGGAGGATTTGCTTCCCGTCACTCTTGTGAATCGCCCCTCCAAGCGCAATCGATCTCCTTACGTGGCTGATGTCTCGGTGGCTGCACAAGAAGAAGAAGAGGCCGCCAACACCGCTGACTCTGCGCGGGAAGCGATTTGCCATGTCCCCAACTTGGACATGGGCGGAAAATGTTCCCCAGGAGCAACCCTGTTGGTCAAACGAGCTCGCGACAAAAAGGGGAATATATTGGGACCCAATGCTGTGAATCCCAAGTACGGAACACCCAAATGTGAATTCATTGCGCAACTGTTACGAGTGGACGAAACCGCCCTGGGCTACAAACCTGCCGCCTGGGTAGGAGCTCATCCATCATTGGGGGAGAAAATAGCGGAACAGCTACTATTGAGGAATGCGTTACAACCACAGCTTCCCAAAATCAAGAGTATTCAACGAGAAGTCCGCAACGTCGCAGGGGCTGATATGCGAGCCGATTTTGTCGTCCATTTTGAGGATACCAGCCTCAAGCCCTGCGTCTTGGAAGTCAAGACAGTGGTAGATACAGACTACGCTCCTGACAGGACTCCTACCCAAAGAACCAAATGCGTCTTTGTCAACCACATCACCCCTTACCGTCGAGCTGGAATCTTTCCCTGGGGGCAATCCAATCAGAAGGGGCCGAATGGGGAAACTGTCGTGTCAGCCAGATCCATCAAACATGTGAGAGAACTGACCCGTATGGCACAGGGCGATCTGGTGGGTGCCAGTGGCGAACTGTATCAAGCCGCTGTCTTGTTTGTGGTGATTCGACGAGATGCAGATTATTTTCGTCCCAATCATGAAGCCTGTCCATCCTTTAGCAAGTACCTACGGCAAGCCCAAGAGGCGGGTGTCATGTTGCTGGCAAAACGAGTAGATTGGGGTGATACGCCAGAGACTCTTGGGCAATGTCAGGAAGGACCTTTGCTAGAAATTGAATGGCCAGATCTCCAGGAAACAAGGTAGCACTGCTAGCTAGCTTGGTCCCGATAGGTATGAGTATGATATACGGACAAGAAACCTACCATCGCATTCCTGTCAAAGAAGACTAAAGCGATCACTTCAGGTCTGGTACACTATTGAGGCCAAACCATCCCCTCTGGTGTTGTGGTGGTGAAGTGTTGCTGAGTCCAGTACTAGGTGCTGCGAGCTTGCTTCCCTACGAACGCACACTTAAGCTAAAGGGGTTTCAGATACAGAGTGCTCAAATTTACTGAAATGTTAAGACAATCTAGTAGGCAGACACTCAGATCTCCCAAACCAGTAAGATTTGCTAAGCGTACCAACATCTCAAATCCTAAGCTAATACTGCTACTATGTGGGGATTGAGGGAAGGGTACTAGCTTCCACATCACCATCTACATCCAAGCCCCCCAAATCCGCATCTTGGGGGGCCTTCTCTACCACAACATCTTTGGTTTCATCAATTTTGGGTTTGCATCTTTGCCTTCTCGGGCTTTGGTGGTGGCTCCTCACTGTCTGAGGGCATGGGTATGTGACAAACGCTGCAAGTGGCTATAAGATACTGAGGTTGGGCTGTTTGTATGAATTGGTACCATTGCCAGCTACCTGCTCAGTATTTTTTGTATTTCTGGCTACTGAGTGGTAGCCACAGAGTGACCATGGGCCAAAGGCTCCCGTCCAGTCCAGTACTGGTACGGTAGCAGGTACCGGTAGCAGGTGCATCGTCAGCGTGCATCGCGCAGCTCCGGAGTACAGTAGTTACTGTACGGTAGTTGAAGTTTAATATATATTATGAAGTCTTACGAGGATTTACGGTTGATGACCACTTGTTTTGACAGGGGGAGCATTGGTCCTACTGTATGATTATATGTACATTCTTGACCATCATGATGACTGAGACAAGCAAGTGGATTTAGAGATGGTCAAGTGGAGTTATAGTCGTTTTTTTTCCCCCATTTGCCACCAATGGAGACTTTCTTGGGGGCATTTCGCCACTCATACAGTAATGCCAGTTTTCTTGCTAGCTAGCTACATGTACAATGTACCGGCACAGTACCACTAGTATCCACATACCAGCGGTTCCAGCAGTCTTAGGGAGTTTGGACGCGATGCAAGGTTCCACTTTCTTTTGTTGTTGTTTGGTTCTTGCCCCTGCTTGAAATTGAAAGAGGATAGGCTACTAGGAGGATCAGCATCCGCTGCTCTAGTCTAAAGTACTGTAAACTAGCTAGAAAGAGACTCTCCAGCATCAATCGGACCACAGAAAACACACTCTCAGTCAAAGGGTCAAATCGTTCCTCCAGTGCACTCAGCTTGAACATGCCGGTAGAGTGACCGCAGTTGAGACACAACACAGCAATACCGTCGCCTTCAATTCATCCAGCTCGGATTGAACACCCTAGCTAGCCAGCCAGCTCGCAAGCCTATCAACGCCCAACTCATTCTGAGCCGAGCAACACAGACGACTACGGTATACTTCGATAGGGCTGTTTGTTGAACACCCAACTTTCGAAGGTAGGAAGATTCCGTTGAGAGTATACCTGTACCAGACACCCAAGCAAGCAAATATGGACGTCGAGGCGCTTGAAAACGGCGGTGGGGGAATTCCGTACAGTCAGGAAATCGACGACGAGCAGGAAATTGATTTGGACGAAGAGCAGGAAATTGATTTGGGAGCCGAACCGATGCAGGTAGAATCCCAAATTCGAGATGGTCAGGGCAAACGAAGGACTTGGCACGAGTCTCAGTTAGATTTGGCTGGCATGTCCTTGGCGGACCTTGATTTTGAGGATGGATACGACAAACCATCACAGCTTCTTGCGGAGCAGAACAGTGCCGGTTTCAACCACGAAGAGAACTCGGAAGAAGACGGCAGTTGCAGCCGCGACAGCGTGCTTTCCGCACAAGCACGAGAAGAAGCGCTTCGAGACGGATTATTCCAGGGTGTTATCTGGGACCAGATCCATGGCTTTATGGGGATGATAATTTACTTCTTGTTTGATGTCTTGGTGGGGGGGCTGAAGCGACTCTTTCACTACGCCACGAAATGGTGCAGATCATCCGAGCCAGAAGAAGAACCCATCCCTGACACGCCTGCTCAGGGTAGACGTAGCCTTGCTACCTTCTCCCAAGAGTCATCGCGCTCTCTTGTAGGAGGCTACTTCAATTTCCAGCCTTCTCCCACAGCCATTGTTACGGAGAAGATGGCCACGTTGGCTGCCCAAAATTCCGCTACGGCTGTTGCGTGTGCGTCATCAAAGTCCAGTCTCGTCTCGTCTCAGTCTCACGTGCCGACGACTTGTAACTCACCCCGTCGCCCTTACTCTCTGCTTTTGACACAGCCGCTACTTCTGTACTATCCACTACAACTGCGTCAACAGGGTCCACCTTGACTGGGGCAGTGGCCAACATGGGGATAACATCCCAACTCGGTGCTGCCGTGGGAGCACTAGCTGTGACAGCTGCGGCACTTGCATCGGGGATTGGCATTTCTCAAAGTTCAGGGTCCCCTGCAGCAGAAACCTCTTTCAATCCCGTTGTCAATGACACATTTGTTCCGCCAATCTGCTCCCAACCAGCCGAAATCAAACAGGGCTATGTCGAATTTCAAATTCAATCTCTGCCTTCCAATGCTTTGCCACAGCGCCAATCTGAACTTGAAGCTCTATTCCGAACAATCTACAATGACATTACGGGCCAATGCTTAGACCCTCTGCAAAGAGTGCTCCGCAAGGCCTCACTGGAACGTTGGGAGAGTGAGGAAGTAGGTCCGAACACCACTATCACAACCTTGTTTTGGGAAGGTACAGTTGCATGTAATGGATGTCCTGGTGAGTGTACGAGGGTTTTGAGATATGCTTGTTCCTTAATGATGATGTTCTCTAACCAATGCCTGAATTTGTCCCTACCTAACTGCAGATTGGGAGCCACTGTTTGACGTCCCAAGGATTTCCACAGTGGACATTTTCACCGAATGGACTTTGGGAGGTGGAAACTCCTCAAGTTATGCTTCTAACATGACGAAGAACAACTATACCAATGATTTCTTTGGTATTTTTACTGCCACCTATGGTTGTGCTCTGACGTCAATGTTTGAACAAGCCAGTGAAGATGCAGATTCATCAACCAGCATCAGTAATGACTTGCCTGAGCTGGTAGCTGGAATGACAAGAACTGTTCCAGGCTTTGGCAACACAGGCTCTGTATCTGTTGCAGAAAACCTGCAGGATTACCAACAGTTGGTGAATTCAAAAGGTTGCAACATACATATTCCATTCATGGAGGAGGAACTCTCCTTGTTGGCTGAATGCATCATTGGTTTAGAATTCAGTAAGAATACAAGCAAGCAGGGATTTGCCTGTCAGCATGTCCAAGACCTCATGGTGGATGAGGAAAGATTGATTGGTCCACAGGAGTTGGCATTCTGCGTTGGAGAACCAACTGGCACAGCAGCCTGCCAGGAGTTGCTACGAGAAGTCATGGGAAACATTTCATTTTCAGAGGAACAGGAACAGGAACCATCTGGCTCCTTTCTGGTGAACTCAACCAGCACTTCTCAACTGGATTCTATCCAAACCGTGGGTACCATGGAATTTTCGGGAGAGGACAACAGCAGCAGTGAACCAAATACAATGATTGTATCCAACGAACCAGGAGGTCCTTCTGATATTCATGCATCTCCAAGCCTCTCCCCGTTGGGAAACCCTTCAAATGACATTTCAAACAATGATATGCCAACCTCATCTACAAGGAACACGGATGGACCAACAAATCTTCCAAGGCATGATGATGAAATCAATCGATTGGATGCCGAGAAAACCCCCACAGATGCCCCCTCCACAGTGCCCCCCAACATCAGCCCAGCTCCAAACCCAAGCTCTGGGCCAGCCCCAACAAACCAGTATTTCGCCCCAAGCACATCTAGTGGCACATTGGACCCAAGCAATCGGGATGCAGACTCCCTCAAACCTTCAATCCAGGCATCCCCCAACATCGGCCCAGCTTCAAACCCAAGCTCTGGGTCAGCCTCAACAATCCAGTCTTTGACTCCAAGTGCATCTAGTGGCACATTGGACCCAAGCAATCAGGATGCAGACTCCATCAAACCTTCAATCCACGCATCCCCCAACATCGGCCCAGCTTCAAACCCAAGCTCTGGGCCAGCCCCAACAATCCAGTCTTTCACTCCAAGTGCATCTAGTGGCACATTGCACCCAAGCAATCAGGATGCATACTCCCTCAAACCTTCAATCCAGGCATCCCCGACACATCAGCAAGCCCATACACCCACAGCCATTGCCAGCACACCACAACCCACCATAAAACTCAGCAGTGTTGAGCCAAGTCCAATAGCGGCAGGTAACAATCCTACAGCTACTTCTGGCTCCAGTGCAACCCCCGAAACAATGCCCCCTACAACAAGGACACCGGCACCTAGCATTTCTCCTCCGGGGGGAGGATTTAGCGTACCTACTATTCTACCAGGAATACAGGAAATCACATTGTCACCAGAAACATCAATGGGTCTTTTGGTTTTCACCAACAACGCTCATATACCTTTGTCAGAGGGTGTGGGAAGCACACTAGCACCCACCGGCACAGTGTCGTTGTCACCAGAAACTGAGACTGAATTGAATAATAAGTACGTACCATGTGTCACAGCCGAAATCTGCATATCATTTCGTCTCATTATCAACATATCTATTCTGTTCTCTTTTGTTTCAGATTTTCAGGGGGCAGTGATGGACAGCTCACACCCAGTCCCACGGTGCCCCCTTCAAAGACATCTATTCCCACCTCTGCTCCAATGCAAGGGCCAACGCAAGTGCCCACAGAAGATCCCACACCTCAACCGTCTTCTGAACCAACTCCCAATCCTACACCAAACCCAACATTTGCACCAACCAGTTCACCAACCAGTTCACCAAGCAACAGGCCTACTCCCGAACCATCTCCCTCCCCTACACCTGATCCTACATTCACTCGGACTCCAAATCCCACCGAAAATCCAACGGACCTCCCCACTCGTCAGCCCACACCAAACCCCACATTTGAACCAACAAACATACCAATCAGCAGCAATCCTCCTAGTTCAACTGTTGAATTCAATCCTTTACCTCAACCAACCCCCAGCCCCTCGAAAAACCCCACAGAGTCTCCTAGTCAGACGGCATCGATGCCTACGCTTGCCCTAACCAACTCTCCCAACAATAACCCCCCTTCCAATCCAACTTTTCAAACAAGTCCCAATCCTGTCACTCCTTCTGCAGAAAGTCCAACACACTCTCCTACTGATCCGCCAGTTCTAAACCCCATGGTTGAACCAACCGCCACACCTAGTGCTCAACCTCCATTTCAGACCATTCTTCCAAGTTCTTCAACAGTTCCCCCTAGTACAGTCCCAAGTGTGCAACCTAGCTCGTCGCCCAGTGCAGCACCTATCCAGGCTCCTTCAATAGCCCCAAGTGTGCAACCCAGTTCACCCCCCAGTGCAGCACCAAGTCAGGCACCATCTATTGCTCCTGGTGTCCAACCTAGCTCTTCGCCCAGTGCAGCACCTAGCCAGGCTCCATCAATCGCCCCAAGTGTTCAACCCAGTTCAAGCCAGGCTCCCTCAATAGCCCCAAGTGTCGAACCGAGCTCATCATCAAGTTCAACACCAAGCCAGGCACCGTCGATTGCTCCTAGCGCCCAACCTAGCTCTTCGCCAAGTGCCAGCCCAGTCAGGCTCCTCAAAAGCCCCAAGTGTTCAGCCCAGTTCATCACCCAGTGCCAGCCCAAGTCAGGCTCCCTCAATAGCCCCAAGTGTCCAACCTAGCTCCTCGCCCAGTGCCAGTCCAAGCCAAGCTCCATCAATAGGTCCAAGTGCATCACCCAGTGCTTCACCTAGTACAAGAAATCCAACCAACAATCCAACACCCTCTCCAACCCCAGATCCCACAAGAAGGCCAACAAATCAACCCACACCCTCTCCAACCCCAGATCCCACAAGAAGGCCAACACATCAACCCACACCCTCTCCAACCCCAGCTCCCACAAGGAATCCCACAAGAAACCCAACAAACAACCCAACAAAGGCACCTACCAAGGCACCCACTAAAGCACCTACCAAGGCACCCACTAAAGCTCCCACAAAAGCCCCTACCAAGGCCCCAACAATCTCTCCCACTAAGAATCCAACAATGATGCCCACACCCATTCCATCAGTGGCTCCTAGCTTTGTCTCTGGTGAGTTGTTATTGAGCCCTTTTACCTGAGAACTAACACCCCCTGCTAACCTGGAGCCATTGCTGAAACAACTCTATAGTCTTCACAGACAAGACTGCTCTTCAAACAGCTTTAGAATCAGGGCAATATACTTCAGCTGGACCTTATGGTAAGGATTGTGACTCAGTCACGGTGGCATGAGTCTGTGCTGAAATTATCTCATTCAAATGCTTTTACATTGACATCTATAGGCGATATTACAGTTTGGGACATTTCTGCGGTCACCAGTTTTAGTAAGAACTCTGCTGACCAGTGGTGTGTTGATAGCAAACCCCTCAACCCTAACCTATTGTCTCCATTCTCGCTGTGTTCACAGGCGGATTGATCAGGGATTTAGCAGGCGTCGTTACAGTCGCTACATTCAATGGTGATTTGGTATGTTCTTAATTTGCCTTGCCATAGCTTTCAGGTGAATGTCAGCTTCCTTATGATTCTGCATTTCTGTTGTGCTTCTTTGCATAACTCTGCCAGTCCAACTGGGATATAAGTGAGGTAACTAATACAAGAAACATGTTCAAAGGTAAGAGAAATTGTGCATTGGTTGTTTGTTTGTTAAGCCAGGATTCAGTAATCTAAGCTGCCGTCTCTTTCCTGACAAAGGTGCAACTGCATTCAATATGCCACTGTAAGATTTGGGGATTCCCTTTCAAATATCAGGTGATTGGCTTTGGTTCTAACAACTTTCAAATCGTTTACACTTCAGTGCAGCGTGGGATGTTTCGAAAGTAACAGACATGGTATGTGCCCGAAAGATGTATGCACATGTCACTAGTCCTCCCATCTTACACTTATCTCCCTGGTTGTCAGAGAGGAATGTTTGACGGTGAGTGATGCCACCTCTTCAGGCCCTTGTGCTCACTTTTCTGCAAGCTCACAACTTCACCTATTGATTGACTGATTGACTGTTGATTTGGTCAGATGCGACAGTTTTCAACCAAGATCTGTAAGCACTTGCTTCTCCATTTGGATTGCACAGTTGTTCTGAAGCACTCACAGTTGTTTCTTCCTTCTCCAGTTCAACTTGGGACACATCAAAAGTGATAGATATGGTAATTTCCCATGCTTGCCACATTTGCTGACCGCCCGATTGAAGCCTCACATTTGTGCCTGTTTCCGACATGACCAGCAAGCAATGTTCTTAAGTGGGTTTTAGTGTCCTTTCTTGTTGTTGAAAACACTTGCAAGATAACAAAAGTTTCTAAACTTCCTGTGATTTTTTGTCTTGTCTAATAAAAGGCTCTGGTTTCAATGGAGACATGTAAGAACGCATGGATTTCTTTTATGGCTGCAATTCCGTGATCCTCCATTGCTCAACGCTGGTTCGATTGTCATAAAGTTCTGGCTGGAATGTGGCCAAGGTGACCTCTATGGTAGGTTCTCAAGAAGCTGTTGGGTTCTCCAATGTTTGTAAAGTTGAATCTCACCTATGCTCTGTTCTACTCCTCAAGAGTCGGATGTTTTACCGTGAGTTGCTTGGATGGCCACATACGTTGAAACATTTCTTGGTCAGTTGACCTCATCATCAATTTGATTCCTCTGTACCTTTCAGAAGCAAGTTCTTTCAATGTGGCAATGTAAGTCATTATTTGTTGGGGGGGTTGTCTGTTGGTGCCATCGAATTGATGTGAATTTGTGGCTGACAGATCAATGATTTTGTGTTTCTGAAACAGCTCTAACTGGGATGTGTCCCAAGTTACAACTATGGTGAGTTCATTCTAATCGTAATTGCAACCAGCACAAGTTTTGCCTAACCATAGCTATCGACAAAACAATCAATACATCAGCTAAGCATGTTCATGAGTAAGTGGGTTACATTGATTCTTCTTTGCTGCTAGCTGAATCTAACGATGCCATCCAAATCATTTGATTCAGGTACATCATTCAACCAACCGATGTAAGAGCTTCCTTTGCCATTGCCCACGCCTGGGTCTCGATTAATTTGCTTTCAACTAACCTTGCTTTGAATAGTTCCGGTTGGAGTGTTTCCAAGGTGACCACTTTTGAGGAGTTGTTCCGCCTGTCTCCGTTTAATCAAGACGTTTCAAGTTGGTAAGTTGGCAGAGGCCAAACTACAGGGAGAAAAAAATTCGCCTCATGAGTCATTTCTTTGAATCTCCCCATTGCATTAGGGACACAAGTTCTGCCCTCAACATGGTAGGTTTGTATTCACAACAGGGGGGAGGGGGGGTTGTGCAGATTTGTGTGTTGCTGACCACAATTTCTTCTTCACCTCAAAGGCTAACATGTTTAGAGGTAAGGTCCTGCTGTATGCAAGTATTCCTCGCCCATTGTTAAGTATGGATTGTTACTGACAAACTGCCCTTTCTCGCCACAGCTGCAACTAACTACAATCAGCCTATGAATGGCTGGGATGTGTCTTTGGTGACAACGTTCAATCAAATGTTTCGGGCCTCTGCGTTCAATCAAGATATCTCAGCTTGGGATATTGCTGTGGCTACAGCTCTTACCGAAATGTTCCAAGATATTTCTGCATTTGACCGTGATCTTTGCCTATGGGGACCCAAGATTGTACTCTCCCCAGATGTTACAAACATGTTTACCAGTACAGCCTGTCCACAAGCTTCCGCTGTGGTTGACTTGACTGCATCTCCCAAGGGCCCCTTCTGTTACACTTGCCCTTAATAAGCAATGGCTGTGCCAGCTGCAGCTGCAGCGCTTGATGCTCTGGAGAAGAGAAACCCCGGGCTACGGGGGCAGTCAAAGAATTGTGTTGAGTGTGCAAAGGAGTGGAGACCAAGGATATTTCAATGATGCAACCAACAGCTCAATATGGGAACGGACTTTGTAATGCTGATTCTTCAGCTTCTCTTTACTTGCCAAACTAGCCAGATCCACCGGTAGCCAGGTATACCGGTACCCTTTGCGCCAAAGCTTGGTACTCCATTGCCGTGATTTGGACTGAGACTCTAGCTATTAATAGCTACAGTAGCTAGTAGGCAATCCGAGGTAACTAGGTAGATGATAACTAGCAAGCTTCTACCGTACCGTACCAGTACCCCTTGCGCAGGACCTTTCCTCGTTTCGCTGGATGTGGGTGGTGGTACGAAGTCTGCAATGGTTTGGGGACTGACGTCATTGCGTTCAAATCCATCAATTGGTTGTAGACGAGCAATCGTTGTTGACCATGAGAGGTGCTACACACATCGATCTGTTGGCAGCGTTGGTGTCGACGCAGCAAAGACCACTACACGTACTGAGCCGAGACAGTGCCCTGTCGTCGCTCCCTTTTGAATCGGATGAAATACATGTAGTACCGGCCACAACGACCCCAAGTCAACACCTTGCTACCGCTTTCGATGTCAGTGTGACCTCACCGGAATCCATCTTGGGAAAGCTCAATCCAGAAACTGCCGATTGGCTTCGCTTCATTGCCTGGACGGATTTTCGATTGGCCGTTACCTTTTTTGTGGTGTCGCCCTTGGTATTGTTGGCGTGGAGTGCAGTGGAATGCCGTCCACAACGACAAGCTGACGAACGAAGTTTGGCGGCCGATGCCATTTTGAGGGTCATCACGGGATATTGGCAAGCATCCGCGTTGCTTTTGATAACCGTGTTACTGAATATTGAAGCATCTCCCATTGGAGTCGTGACGGGAGCTGTCGCTCAAGCCATGATCTATGTGTCACTGAATTGGTGGGAATCTCTCAACAAAGAAGCCGCGTCCGAAGAAGGAGCATTGAGCAAGATGTTCGCGGTGTGGCGCACCATTGCCAGTTGGGTAGCCGTGTCACTAGATACCATTGTGCATTGATTAATCTAGGGATCTAAGAGATGTAAAGTTTTATTTCCAAATAAGTGAGCAGTTATTGATTATTTTCTAGAATAAGCCTGCCAATTGTAAAGCTGTAAAGCTGAATTGTAAGCTGTATCCCGTCGCACTTCCCTTACAGCTGAAATGAAGATGTAGCAAGAAACGATAGGTGAGAGTCCCCAGCAAAGTTCTGAGGTAAATTAACATCACATGAGGAGCTTCAGAATAACAGCAAACTGTGGAGCAGGAAGAGACCTTTAGGTGAAAATCGCCCGTGTCCAAGTTATCGGAATCTTATACTGGAGCTCGATCCCTTTCGACTCCCCGATGTTGGACCTGAAGAAGTGGTATACTTCAATGCCAAATACTTTTTGCGCGCAGACATTTGGGTTCATTTTCACAAGCAGACAGAACCCTTGGTTTGTCTTTTTCGAACATGTAAGAGCCGCATCCTGAGACTGTCTTAAGTTAATACCGCATATATTCAGTTTTGCTACCTATTCTTGAGCCAAATAGCCGCACTAGGAAGAAGCTTCCCTCTTTGATCATCGGAAGGCAGACATACTCTGTCATGATGGAGCTTCCAAAAGAATATTCGGCTCTGTAGCTTCTGTGGTTACATAATTAGGGACCCAAATCCATTAGTCAGGATAACAAATTTCCATGTGCTTTAAGACTTGATCGGACACCGTAGCCTGTTTCATCCTTCATATCCATACAAATCCCGTGCGGTATAGGCATGGTCCCCATGTCCTCGA